GGACTCCTCCTAGAGAATTGATCAGATCGACTTCAAAACTGGAGAGTAAACGTGTACACACAATATGTGTATTCACATATGTATCATGTCAAGATGTACAAAAAAGCCTCCTGGAGCCATATCCTACTTGAACAGGATGTTGTAACTTCAGTATACATCATCCAATCTGCACCAAACTTTGTGTTTGATGAGAGTTCCAACATGAACACATCTACATGCAAATATTCAGTCATACTGGAAGTGCCACCTACTGGCAACAGGAAGGAAGCCCTTTATGGCAATCATCTTGTGATTTCTGTGAAATTTACGCGGTGTGGTGTATGCGTGATATGCTGGTACATGACACAGCTGCAGAACATCCCGATGAGCATGGAGTGCAATCACTGCTTGCAGCTTTAATTATTATTATTAACATTATATTTATTTATTACTCATCATAATTATTATCATCATCATTATAATTATTACTAGTTTCTGCTAGTATAGTTGTTAGTTTCGCAATAGATATTGTTGTGCATCGCTGTCACTGTCATACTTCTCTCTACCTTCATGCACCACAGTGGATGAAGTAACTTTTACATTTGTTTCTTTAATACCTTTGGAGGATTTGACCTGATGGTTGTAGTAATGGAAACGTGAGGGTCTCACCACAAACATTTTCAGGCCAATCTGCCCTACAGTAGTAAATGATCTAATATTGTTTTCTAAAGCAGGATATATATTTTAACTGATCAATTGTGAAATCTTCACTTCAATGAACATGAAAACATTGTTGAAAAACTGTTCAGTTTCTTTATGAGGTACCAAAATATAACTGAGAAATGAACATTTCCTGTTTGTGTTTGTGTGTGTGTGTGTGTGTGTGTGTGGTGTGTGGTGTGTGTGTGTAAGTGGGGCATTCAACCATGGTGTGAACAAATGGGAGATAAACTATTAACACTTGTATATTGTTGTTGCTGACGGAAACTTTGTATCTGCAAACTCCAACTCACAGACTATTTCCTCATTCTTTTTATTAACAAAGACAAAATGAAATTATTTTCAGTTTTACACCCATGTATTTAGAGTTTGTCTAAATTGCTTCATAAATCAATAGATTGAGAATTCAGTGTCCAAGCTGAAGTGAAGGCAACCACCATCCTGGAGTTGGAAGGTTTATGAGTGCATGTGTGTGCCTCTGTTGCATGCTGGTACTTCCTCATTTTTCTCTACTGAAACCAAAAAGAAGCCGGGTGAAGAAACACTGACAGCAGCATCAGTACAGTATATTATGTTATTACATTTATATCTTCCATAGTTAGTACTGCATTCTGTACTACTATAACAGCAGCGTGGTGACCGATCAATGCAGTGCAGTTACAGTCAGTGAAGTGCAGCTACTGTTCAGTTGTTCCAGTCCTCTCAAGATGTCCTCAGATATTTATGCCAGACCAGATTTGTCAAAGAAGGTGAGATACAACAGAAAGGTGAAGGAAGACAACGTAGAGTGGGAGGAAAGGGAGGTGGTCATCTATGAGAGTGCAGATGCTATCAGAGATGATCAGACTGATTTTCAGTCAAGTAAAGGAGGTAAGTGACAAATTATGACAAATCAATATTATAAATTAATGTATGCTTCTCTTGTTTGAGTCTGGGAGTGTCTTTTAATCATGTTGGACTAATGTGTAAACTCCAAGTTTACTTTCAGTTCAGTTTGTTAGTCCAGGTTTCTGCCTCTTGCCACTGTCGTTAAGTGCATGCTCATGGTGGGAATTGTTGGGTCTCTGTAAATAATAATGAGTATGGTTTTGACCTGCTGTCCTCAGATAACTTCTGTTATGATTTGGTGCTATAGAAATATAGATACATTGAATTGATGTTATTTGGTGGCACCAGAGTTTAAATTGCTACAAAGGTTTTTAAAACACAACCTGAATCTAATATTTTATTGCTTTGGGCATCGTTCTTATTGGGTACGGTAACATTTAACAGACAAGTATCATTTCTGAGAAGTGGGGAAGCATCAACTCTGGTGAAGACAGAGTGGAAAAAATAACAGAGAGCAACCACAGGACAGGAAGGAGTACAGTGCAGCATGACAACGTCTGTTGAATATCATTATTAGTACAGAGCCATGGTAGAGAGAGAGACTGAAGAGGTGATGCAAAGTCAATATAACACACAAGTTTCACAGCAAACAATAATTGGTTAATATAACAGTGTTTAAATTAGTTGATTAAAATCTGTCTGAATATACATGACTCCATTCACAATTGTGTACAGATGTCACCCAACCACAGATCAAAGCAATGAAACTACAGAGTAAAGTGTTATCAGGAATGAAAGGAAAAGTATGATGATTGGACCCATGTTGTTTTCTTTTAATGAACCTGCTCTCTGTGTGTTTGCCATCTTAGGACCGCACACCGAGAAGCATCGTCCATCTGTCCAAAGAAGACCTTTCAGGGCTGCTACACTGTGTCTGGGAGTGCTGTGCTTTCTGATGCTAACTGGAATCATCATCTTATCCATACGTCGTAAGATACAACACCCCACACCTACTGAGCACCAAATACTGAACCAGTACACGATGTATGATTCAGCAAAGCCTTTCTCACTCACGTTACAAGAATCAGTGATCGATTAACTAGTGGACAATCTCCCCTAGCTCTGCCCGTCCTGTACAGTCTAGTGAAACAGAGAGATGTTCCCTGGTGCTGGGACATTTCTGGGCTCAGGGTCTGAGGTCGGGACTCTATAAAAACCTAGTGTCTGCTGTCTCTGCCGACCTCCTATGCTCTCCAGTACAAGCAAATCTGATTGCAATCAGTCTAAATGAAATAAGAGGCAGTACTATTCTAGTCCAGAGGGTGGTGATAATCCAGCAGCAGCTGTAACTGCCAAAAACAGCCACAAGAGAGTTTAGTTGATTTCTGTTTCACTGTTAGTTGAGCCATTATCACAAGGGAAAGACCTTGTATGGGCTACTTCCACAGAACACTTACTGACATAGTTCCACTTGGAGGAGTAAAGATTATAAATGCGTTTTGGAGACACGATTAACAATGGTCACTCACTGTGGATCTTTATTCTGCTCTCCTCCAAACTGTTTTACATCTATTATCTGCTCTTTGTACGTTACTAGTTGTGCAGGTAGCACAGCCAATTCTAAAAATAACTGTCTGGTCGCAGCACATTTCCTGTGTCAGAGATACAGTATGTCGGTGTACTGTATACTGTATGGGCAACCATTAATGCAGTTCAGTCAGCCAACTCACGTTTGGAATGTTTATTAAGCAGTATAGCATATTTAGATTTTGGCGTCTAGGCTCCGACCTCATCACTCCCCGTAGATATGTTCACATAGAGATATTGGGGAGTGATGCGCAAATACCTTAACCCCCCAAAATAGCACGGAAGGAGCCTGACGCCATCAGTGAAACATTCTATGTGTGGACCTTACACCGCTGCGGTGTGGCCATTCCCCTGAAGCACCTTGGTCCCAGTGGAATACACTACCTAGTGAACTGCTATGTGTGGGTTTTGCCGTGTGGTTTTCCCTATGAGCACCTCAAGGCATGAGGGAATATACTACTTAGCAAAGTTTTTATAAATCATGCTGGAACATTTCCCATATAGCAAAGATATAGATACTCTAAACCCAGCAACCACCTGATATGCAAATATATGATTAATCAATTCAATTTGTATAGCGCCAATTCATAACAGAAGTTATCTCAGGACACTTTCAAATAGAGAAGGTCTAGACCGAACTCCTTATAACATTACAACATTTACAGAGACCCAACAGTACCACCATGAGCAAGCACTTGGCGACGGGGGCAAGGAAAAACTGCCTTTTAAGAGGCAGAAACCTAGGACAGACCCTTCGGCTCTAGGTGGGTGATCATCTGCCTCGACCAGTTGGGGTCAGCAGATAAATATTTTAAATGCATTAAGGGGAGCGGGAGCTCATGAGTTTTGCATGGTCAAAATCCCTTCTTGTGCAGTCTGACATTAGCCTTGGTAGATTGGTTGATGCAGCCAGATGGACAGCTACGGTTGTAGCTGCGCCAATCTTAGATAGTGAAGGGATAGTGTTCGTATATACATATACATATACATATACACACACACACACACACACACACACACATATATGTTCGCAATGGAAGAATTTCGAGGAGCTGAGAAAACAATGATAAGACGTTCTGTTTTTGTTGCTTGTGGAAACATCTAAGAATATACTCTGAAGAAGGAGAAGGGAGATTTTAACAACGACCTAACATTTATCCTTAATAACCTCTTCGAAAAGAAGATCCTTTACTACCTCGGCTCTGGAATAGCCAGGTTTTTACAGACATGGGTCACTTTTAGACCTGCTATTGGAGGCTGATTTACAGAAATTAGCGCAGATTTTAACTGTGGCTGAGATTTGCCAGTCCTTGCAGAGCAGTTCTTGAACAGAGGGAAGTTGTTAGATAATGTTTGTGATGATGCTAACAGCCGTTTAGCCACTAAAACTAACTTTGTTTTAAACTAAAGCTGAGTTAACTGACATAATTTGTGTCAATTTAATTTTTTGTGTCATTTTTTAAAATCAATTAATTTATTTTTATTATGTTGTCCACTAAAAGAGAAATATCACTACCCAAACATCACTCTAAAACTGGAAAATGTAAAAAGCCACCGTGTCAAGTTGTTAACAGCAACCAACTATCAGCTAGCTTAGATTCCAGCTAGTTAATCCTTATACTTTTATAATAAGAATACGTTTTAAATGCATTAGTGGAACGAATGGCTGTTAATACTCAGGCCCTCAAGGTCTAGTCCTAGCATCGAGATATCTCTGCAGCAAACTGCAGCAATAGCAGACTAGTGTTTTATAACCTGTAAAATGTCTGCCGATAGTGGCAGGACGACTATATACCCCATCTAGTTCTGACTGAATTCTGAATGTACATTGCAGATTTGGCAGAGAAGGACTTATGATACTCCTAAAAGACCCCAACACAAACTTCACATATGGAGTTTCTAAAGGCGCCAAAAGCAACGCTGAGTTCTGACACCTTGATTACTATCTTCCAAAACTATGGAAAATCTCCACAATCCACAAGTCTTTTGTAAGCAGATCAGAACCACATTACACAATAATATTAATAATAATAATAATAATCGCCACAATCATTATAATTATCTTAATAACCATTATAATCACCATTACATCGCAATCACCATCATTACTACCATCAACAACGTCATTATCATTATTTATTTGTTGTTTATTTCCTTCCCCATCTGTTTCTCTATTACTTCCTTAAGCCTGTCAATATAGATTTGTTCATATAAATGTATTATTATATTAATTGCTGAGTGAGAAACAGATTACCTGTTAGAATTTGACTCCTGAGGGAATCAGGAATTGCTACTGCAGGGGTGCAGGAACCCAGAGCTCATTGTTGGAGCTGGGACTACAGTTCCCAGAATCCTGTGGGGTGTGATGTCAGCAGGCAGCGGACAGGTTGAGCGGTCTCACAGGTAGCAGAAGATGGCCCTGGTTGTTTATATTACGGGCCGAGGAAAACGCGTTGTTTTCAGGGTATTAACTGATGACAGAGCGGATTCCACATCGTGGAGACAGAATGATTCTTCAGTATCGGGACCAGGATCAGATCTCCTCGAGAGGAACATAGTCGGCAGGGGAGATGCAATGTTTGATTAGCGGCGTTTAAACCTGAGTCCTGGACAACAGTGGAGCTCTCTTGAACCGAGAGGTAACTGAAGAGCTCTTCATGGTTAAGGCCGGATGGAACTGAGATGTAGGGAGCATACAGCATCCAGGATGCGGTGCACGGGCCCGCAGGTGAGTCGTTTGCGGGTGATGCGGCCTCAGCAGACTGAGTCTGGGTGTCGGGGATGAAGCCAATATCTTCCCCTCAGACAGAGACTCACTCCCCGAGACAGAGATGGTGAGAGACATAGTGACCATAAAGCCGAAAGGTAGGATGACAGTCGCATTTACAGTAATAGTCAGATTAATCAATAACTGAGAAAGCTTACAGAGCAGCAGGCAGCAATACGGATGCAGGGCAACAGCGGCATTGACAGAGCAGAGGGAGAGCTGGGAAATTGTGCAGTTTAAATAGACCGCCAGATTGGAGGGGAGCACTTGGTTAGTGATTATGGAATAAGGCATGTCATGGGTGTAATCAGCGCAGCTCGAGTTGACTGCCTGAACCAGCTCGCAGGCTTCGCTCCATCTATGCACAATGTCAATGTCAGCTCACACCTCTGCTGCTGAGTCAAAACATTGTACTTCCTCAATCTCACTGTCAATAAATAAAGACAAAACAGCTTTATTTTTTAGATTCAAATGTACTTTTATATTGTTTATCTGAAGGGTTTCATGATTCCAATGACTGAACCACTGAATTAACCATCTCACTGTGAGTCAAGTTAAAGTTAGGTGGGCTTTTCTTGTAACAGTAAAATGTGTTTAGTTGTGTATCTGTGGTTGTGGTCTTGTCCTGCTGTCACTTCCTGTGTTAAAGGCTGTCCAACTCAAAGACAGACACACAGACAGTGAAGCCTCGTCAAGAATAGGTTCAGTTCAGTTTTTCAAGATGTCTGCAGATATTCTTGCTGCACCAGATTTGAGCTTGAATGTGAGATGTACCAGAAAGGTCAAAGAGAACCAGGGAGAGGATGAGGAGAATCAGATGGAGATCACAGAGGATGAAGAGTATCACGTTGATCTTGGGCCACAAACAGCCAGTAAGTTTCCAAATGACTATGTTAAAATTAGATATTGATAATTCACTGTAGGTTATTATCAGGAGTGTTTGTGCTGTAATCTGGTGCCACAGGATTCTTATTGAGAGTGTCAATGAGTAACAAATACTCCACAGTTCAAACAGCCCACTTCTAACTTTAAACCAGCATAATTAAATGCTCTTTATGTATTTTGCCTCTTTAGGAGCACAAACTCAAAAGAATCGTGCAGCTGTCAAAAGAAGGTGTTTCAAAGCCACTACAGTGACTCTGGGAGTGATGTATCTTCTGATATTGGCTGGAACCTACATTCGCTGTGAGGAAGTCACTTTTTAATCCAAACTGTCATATCTTGAGTCCCTCTCTGCTTTTTCTAATGTCGTGTTTGAGGCTTTTTTATGTCAGACGACATAACAGGTGTATGTCTATGTATTTTGTGAGTTTCTTCCTGTGATTAGTGACATAGTGAGTCATTTTGTCCAAGAGACTTTTTGTGAAGAACACTGAAGCTACTCAACACAGGTTCAGACTGGTTTCGCTCTGTGTAGAACAGGAAGTTACCAGAATTTGTGAACTTGAAAGACATAACTATACACAAAAACCAGTAGGCACATGTATCATGTGTTGATGTACAGAAACAGTCTCTTGGAGCCACACCCTCAACACAACAGGAATTTAGAATCTTTTCAGTCATTTTTTGTAATTTCCACGCATTGTACTTGAACACACCCCCACTACAGATTAAACTGGATCGACTTCAGATTGGGTCAGTGCAATCTAAGTAATCTAACTGTAACTAGAGGTGAGCAATATGACTATATTTATAGTGTGACGATAGAGTAACATTTATTGTTTCATATTTGCTCTATCATTTATTTTATTGGATCACAAGTCACACTCTTCTAGAGTTCATATGAGAGAAATATGTGCTCTGAAGTGGTCGATGAGGCAGCGATGCAACAGAAAGCAAGTGTTTCACTAGCTCACCAACTAGTTTCATCTGCTCACCTGGCTCTCTCTCCCCCATACACACACACGTGGACACTGGCTCGCCCGCCTCTTCCTGTGAGAGAGAACCTCTCGTCACAAACAACTCAGGTTTTGAATTTTCATCCACGATTCTCTTTTTACGAACAGATGAGGCTTGTGTGGTTGTGGTACCGTACTGTACCTTTACTGTACTTGCAAAATATGTGACTCAGAGTACCAGATAACGCTCTCTCTCTCTCTCTCTCTGTTTCTCGGTGGTTAAATGTGTCGCTGTACGTTAAAATCCCTGGGTGGACGGCCCAAGTAAAGTCTAAAGTAGGAGACACTGAGACATTAATATTTGATGCTTAATTGAAATTTTGCTCAAAAGTTATAATTAAAAGCAGAAAAATAATCAAATATGAGTGAGTACATTTTATTTGTTATGTATATAATTCAAACTGTGATAATAAATAGGTCTTTTTCCATGTGGTCATTTTATATGAACTACTGATTCATTGAATTAACAGAAAATGTTCTATACTGTGATATATATTGTTATTGTAATATTATATTTTGGTGATATCACACAACCAGAGTTGTAACATGACTGTAAATTGTCCAATCAGCCCTAAACTTCATATGTTTGATCAGAGTCCTGGACTGAACACATCTACATGCCAATATTCAGTCATAGCTCCACCTACTGGCAATTGGAAGTAAGTCTTGTATGGCAATCATCATTTGATTGACAGCAAATTTTGATTGTGTGGTCTACACATGATATGCTGGAACATAAGGTATAATTAGTGGCCGTTCTCTAGTGTCACATAGTGGGCACAGGAAGTAATATTTAAGTCCTCTGTGCTGCTATTTATTTTTTTTATTTTAAACTGCAGCTCAGGATTCACTTACTTTTCCCACTCCAAAAGTTATAAAAAGATTTTTTATTTATTTAGTCTTTTTAATTGATCTCTTAAAAAAAACTCTACAGAATTGACAAACACACAGTGGTCATTTTATACAGAAATACTGGTACTAATAAAAATAATAATAATGTCAATAAAAGTTCAAATATTTACAATTTAATTATTTTTCACTTTAATGCTTTCCTTGTGTTTGTCTCCTCACTTCTGAGGACATTTTCTCTCTGTACTGTGAACACTTCAGACCAACTGTGTAAAGTGTTGGAGTTTTTTTATGTTAATGAAATTATTGTTTCTTCTTTCAAAATCTCTGAATGAAATTAAACTCTGTATGAACATCTAATGAGCAGTTATATCTTTTGTGCCTCTCACCAGATATTTTAGTCACTTTGGAAAAAACCCAACTGCAGACCAGAAACGACCAACTGAGTAAAAACTACAGCCAACTCCAGGGAACACTGTCAGGTAAGAAAGGTTTCAAACACATACCACAAACATACAGGATCCAACTTCACACTGCCTACTTGGTATAAATATTGTCATATTGTCTTACTGTTTCTATTGTTGTTTATCTCGAGGTATGGAAGTCAACAACAGTCAGTTTCAGAGCAATTACGAAGCAATGAGTAAAAATCACAGCCAGTTACAGGACAAAATGAAGCAGCTGAAGGATAAAACAAAAGGTGAGAGATAAAAAAAAATTAAAGAACTGAACTGTTTTGCTGTGTGAATATTTCTGTTAAAGACACTAACAACAGAGATACAAAACCTGACTGAAAAGTATTTACAGAGTAAACAGCCTGAAAAGGATTGGCATTAAAGATCTTAAATTAATGAGTGTAACTTCAAGTTTTACCAATTTGACACTGAATGACATGAAATCTATGTTTGAAACACTTCTAACATTAAGGGAAGTGTCCTGAAGGATGGAAGAGATTTGGATGCAGTTGTTACTTTAAATCCAAAGAGAAGCAAATACCAAATATACAGGATCCAACTTCACACCGCCTATCAAGTACAAACATTGTCATATTGTCTTACTGCTCCATCTATTGTTGTTTTTCTCAAGGTATTAAAGTCAACAACAGTCAGTTACAGGATGAAGTGAAGCAGCTGAAGGCTAAAATTGAAGGTGAGAAATTCTTTTAAAATATCTGTTAATGCCAGTATTGTACCAATTTACATAATATAACTGAATTTTTCTTTTAATTATAGCTGTTAAACTGTTGTGGAATATAAATATTTCTCTTTGAGACACTAACAATCGAGATACAAAACCTGAGTAAAAATGACAGTAAAGTACAGTAAAGAGTCTGAAAGGGAAAGGTGACAGGAAAGTAAGATCTTAAACTAAATAGTGAAACTACAAATCTTATCAATGTGACACTGAATGACATGAAATCTATGTTTGAAACACTTCTGACATTAAGGGAAGTGTCCTGAAGGATGGAGGAAATTTGGATACAGTTGTTACTTTAAATCCAATGAGTGGAAAACCTGGTATGACAGCAGATCTTACTGTCAGAACAAAGGAGCAGATCTGGTGATCATAAACTACGAAGAGGAACAGGTGAGAGTGTTTGTTACTGAGTGTGTGATCCTACTAACTGCCAGTCATCTGTTACTTGTGTGTTTGAGCTGCTGTCAGATTTATTTGCCCGATTGGTCGGCCTTCAGGTCCCGATTTGTAAGAGTGTTCATTGACAATTGATTCTCATACAGTGCCTCTAATTCAACCTGCTGTCACTCTGTGTACTGTGTAGACATTTGTTGACCACTTCCCTGTTGCTTTTCTCAATGGGCTCTGACCTACGGTTCTTTTAAAGGGGAACTTCGGCAGATTTTTACCCTAGTCTTGATCACTATAGGTCCCCGAGTACTGTCGATAGGAAAAAGGACGACCAGAATTGGTGCTAGCAAACTGGAGTTCCTGCAGCTAATGGCCAGAGCTCCCAGTTAGTTATAATACACTTTGTGGGGGCATATCCTAAAGAGTGCTTTTGCTCCTCTTAACAGACACAAAATGCAGTTAAAATGTCTGTGCAACATGCTCAGGGCCCTTACGTGACAACAACATGCCTTTTCAACTCATACGTTGTGCAGAAACCGTACAAACAGTACTGTCACCTCCCTGTTTTTCCACCGCTCGCTTCACCGAAAGCCCAGAATAATCGATCACAGAGATAATGCCTTCACGACGAAAAACAGTTTATTTCCCCCTCAACAATGTCCATGTCTTCACACACTACTCTCCGATTTGCACACTTCCTGCAACAATCTCTTCTTCTGCGTTTCCCTGCAACAAGTGAATTCCCACGGGACTTCAGCCCGGACGGTGTGGAAGCCATCCACGGAGACGATCTGGTCCGTAATGTCCCTGTGCAGCCATGTCTCAGTGAACCACATCAGACTGCACTCCCGGTACTCCGGGTGGCGCTGTTAGCTCGTCCATTTTGTTGTAAAGGGACCCTCTCCATAAGCCCGTCCCGTCTCAACCCTCCTCTCATTCCCCGACGTTGCTTCCCTCCTCTGCATCCCCGGTGTGTTTTCCTCCAGAGTTCAGGTGGTATATCAGCTGCTCTGGCCACTACGCCGGCCGGCATTAGCGGGATCAGCTGTTCTCTGGAGTAAACAAAGGCGGCGTGTTCCGGTGGAAGCAGCATGATAACAACAACACGTAGAAAAGCACGAAAACTCTCTGAAAACAACCTCGTTGGAGAGGACGGGACTTCACATAGTTACAGTGAAGAAACAAGAACGAACAAAAGAGAATAAAAGTTAAGAAAGTTAAAAACTTTTGCGCATGTGCACATGGCTTTTCTACGTGTTGTTTTTATTATGCCGCTTCCACCGGAAGCATAATAAAACGCTCAATTTCAGTGTTTCAGTGTGATTTTTGCAGCATGGAGGAACTGAAAAGTTCAGACAGATTTTCTTTTTCCTTCAGACACAAAATGACTTTATTACAATAGAAATACTGAATTATGAACAGAGAAATGATTATTGTCTGTTGTTAAATAATAGAAGTTTGTCAAGGAGCTGAATTTGTATGGAGAATCCTGGATTGGACTACAGGGAACAAATGGAAAATGGACAGGATCAGGACGGACAGGGAAATGGGTATGGGAATGGAAATGGGTGGACAGTTCACCACTGACACAAATGTGAGACATTTTAATGTTTTTTTCTATCACATTTTCACTAAAATAAGTATGTTGTAAAAATGAAAATGTGCTTATTGAACCAGCACTATATCAGCATACAGTATACTGTATATTACAGTATATGCACTATACTGTATTAATGCAGGCTCCAGGATCAACATGTGTTTGACAGAGAGAAAACTTCTCAATTCTGTCAAATAAATGTGATTAAAGTTCCTGTAACTCCTGTTTTTGAGGCTGATTCCTATAAAAATAACTCCCATAAATTACTGAAAAAGAGAAATAAGGTTATTGAACAAGGTTTTATTAGTGAATTGGCGGCTCTTACAGATTATATTAATTAACTAGAAAATTCGTTAAATAGAAAATTGTGCCTTGCTCTGGCCCGTGACACTGGCCCATACATTACTGACACTGCCGAGTAGTTTACCATTGTTTAGGTATGTGACAGATGAAGCTTTCAACGTGTGTGTTCATTTGAGAGAACAAATGGAAATAGCAGCAGTTGACGCGACAAAGTCGGCCAAAAAGTTAGTATTTATGTATTATTTTGATGCCGAATTGACCAGAAGACTGTTGAGATATGATGAGTTTTTTTCCTTGTGTTTCTACAGTTATGTGATTTTATGTAAGCACAATTAATTGTTAATATATGGTATTTCTTAAATGGAGTTTGGCATAATATTGTCCTGGGATAATGCAGGAAGCGTCATGGTTTAATTAAAATAGGTAAAGTAACTAAATAAGTAATAACCACAATGATGGGAATAATAAGTATGTAGTTATAATAATAATAATAATAATAACTAACAGTATCAATAACACTGGTAACAATATTTATATTAATAAATAATACATAATTATGAAAGAAAACTATTCTTAATGTGCAGTCATAGGCAGTGTAGGTTTTTTAAAGTTTTAATAAAGTGTCCACCAGACCCTCTACCTGTTAACATACAATGAACGTTGTAGACTTTTATTTTGAAATACCACCCTCAGCCTGAAAGCAATAGTGCAGTTACAGTCTGAGTGTCAAAATAAATCTAACTTGATGTTTTATTACTAAATCTGTATTACTTGTGTCATGTGTAACACATTGAAATAGATGCTAATTAACAATTTCAGTGTCTTTTGTGACGTTTAATTAGCACAGTAATCCTTTGTCCTCTCTAGCTAGCGAGTGCTAGCACATTAGTAGCTTGTCCTCTCTAGCAAGCAAAGCATTTTAATTAATTAATTAATTAGCCTTCTAATACCTTCTAATTCTCTTTAGCTAGCTAGCTAGAGCTAGCACACATAAACACAGTAACCAAAGCTAGCGCTAGCTAAGTGCTAATCGCTAGCTAAGTGCTAATCGCTAGCTAAGTGCTAGCTTTGGTTAATGTGTTTAATTGTATTATGCTCCTGAAGGAGTGCTAATGTAAAATAAGGAACAGCTCATAGTAGGGTAAAATATTTAAGGTGTATTGAACTTATTTTGTGTTAATATTAAAATCATTCAGCTTTAAATTGTTTGCTTGTTAGCCGCCTGCTAATTATCTTTAGCTAGCCAGCTAGCGCTAGCTTATTAATGCCTTGTCATTCTCTGTAGCTAGCTGTGTGTGTGTGTGTGTGTGTGTGTGTGTGTGTGTGTGTGAGCAGGCTTTGGTTGTCATGGCAATCAGGGGAGCCCACAGCAGCTACGCGCTCTCTCTCTGTCTCTAACTCCTCAGAGAGACAGAAACATTTAAAATTAATCCCCTCGAACCCATGGCCAGGAACGACCGAAATGAAAACCGAAAAGACCGTGAGCGTCGTCATCTTGTTGACTATAGCACTGCCGAGTTTCAGTGGCTAAAGTTAAAAAATGTGACCTCAGGAGATTGAGAGAGAAGAGGTTCAACGAGCCCCTTTAAACATTTCTTCTCTAAAATTAACATGGGAGTAGATGGGGCCGTGAGAGGGTGTTGCTGGCGCATCAGTGCGTCTCCCGCCAAAACTATTTGTCTGACAGCTTCAGCAGTGGTATCACTGCGACCCCATCGGATTTACCTACGTTTCTATCTATAAATTATTTCTGTAGAGTGACATTTGTGGTCTTGAGAGCAGTTTACAAATTTATTTTTCTACAATTTTTTCTGTCTCCCCACACTCTAGCGATGATGTCACGCACTCTGGCGGTTGAAGGTTCTCGCAATACACACCCATTCATTTTTTGGACCGGTTTTTGGCAATTTGTCGGCAAACCGTTTGGCGAAACGCTTAGAAAAGTCATAGCACTAATCTCCTCATCGAGCCGCACGTTTTGATACCTTTTTTGTGTACGTGCGACAAAAGCTGCGGGAGGAGTAGCGCGCCGAAAAACGTAGGGAAGAATAATAATAAGCACGGGGAATAGTAGTATTGTGCTCGCTTATGCAAGGCACAATAATAAAGCTGAAAAATACATGTTCAGGAAGTTATTAAAAACTGTTATTGATTAGAGATAATGTAAAATATTTGAGGTGAAAATCAACAGCTTGCTGTGTTTAAAAGGAAAATATTTTCTTTGTCCTCCAGGTTCTGGGCATCAGGAATGCCATATGGTTCGCAGAACCAGTACACAGCAGCATTCTGTGATACACAAGGAAAATGGAAAGTAAGCAGTTCTTATGATACTAAAAACTGGATCTGTGAGAAATAGATTTCTTGCTTTCTTTAACAACAGAGAAGTGTGCAGTTTTGTCAAATCAGATTAATGTACGTTTTATATTTGTTCAGTTATTCTGTGTTGCATGCTGAATAGGGGTGGGCGATATGGGCAAAAAATAATATCTCAATATTTTTTGGGATTTTGGCGATAACGATAATCAGTCGATATCCTTTAAAATGTGATTAGAATTGTCTGAGCTGCACTTGTGTCCACCAAACGCGTTAACAGCGCTGAGAGAGCTCAAAAACTAATTTTCCGAGCGCCCAGCAGTGTTAAAAGTTGAACAGATTTCAACTTGAAGCGCTCTGAGCGCTGCGCTAAAAAAAACATCTCCGCTGACATCTTTTACCGCTGAAGGCGCTTAGCGCTCTGAACGCTGAAGCCCATAGGACCCACGTCTCGGCACTAAATCATCTGAAGTACCAGTAGCTTCAGGGACTGGAGGTGTTTGCATTTTCTCTCTACCATCACAACGCCTGCTAAACTGTTGCAAGGAGGATGCTAGCGAGAGGTCACGTGATCACGTCTTGTGATCACGTAGGCCCACTAGTGGTGTGACTGAATCCTGCCATGCTGTAGAGAGCGCTGCTGCACCGTGTATTAATGGATGTGAGGAGTTTCCGCGGGCGTTTCATTGTTTTTGTTTAAGTAATTTAAATACTCGATAATGGAAATTTGCACATCGTCAAAACAACAATGACGATATTATCGCAAACGATATATATCGCCCACCTCTAATGCTGAATAACCTGGATTACACAGATATTGTTTCTCTGCTATACATAAGGCTGGTTGGAAGTCATCCACACAACTACACATGCACCTACTCTGTAGCCCTACAGGATTATTACAATTAATGAACTGCAGCTTGTCTTTACTTTGGTTAATTAATAAAGTTGTATTCAGTTAGATCTGTCTGTGTTTATTAAGTGACAATAATGCCACTGCTGCCAAGTTTTTCCTGTGTCCCCTTTGATACACCAGCTGCTAATATCACTTCCCACTGAGAAGTTTCACCAGGAGAGTTAAACATCCATGGAGGTTCATGTTAAGACTCTTCAGCCTGTTTAATGTCAAACTGTCTTCCTTTCACACAAAGGACTGCAGTTCATGTATCTCCCCCTAACAATAACTGTAGGTTTCCACCAGGATAAAGATATTTCCCTGATCTGTACCAAGGCCTAATTTACATTCATTGCAAGTGTCTCTCAGTTAGCTCTGTCACAAATCTGAATGCAATCATTATGTCATCTCTGTCATAACATTAGTCTTTATTTTGCAGTCATGTGTTACTTCCTGTTTTATTTTGTAGTTGTCCTCCTCTTGTGTTCTGTGTTGTTTTACTTCCTGTCTTTGTCTTTTTCCGTCTAGTTTGATTGTTTGCCAGCCTTGACTGTGTTCACCTGTGTCTCGTTAGTTTCCCCTCACTATATATTGCCTGTGTTTCATTCTCCCTCTGCCAGTTTGTCTTTGTACCTTTGTGTTGGTTATTAACATGGATTAGGATTACAGCTTGTTTTTGGACTCTGTCTCTCCTCATCTGGTTTTGTTACTTGTGTTTCGTGGACCTCCTGTGTACCAAACCTTCATTTGTGTTAAGTAAAGATTTTAAGACTTCAAGATCCTGTGTCATCTGTGGTTTCTTTTGGGTCCCTTGTGGTTCACTCAGTCCTAATACCTTCTAAATGCAAATAGGTTGCAGTACTGCTCCAGTCCAGTGGGTGGTGATAATGCACAATGCAGACCTTCTCATTGTGCCTCATTCATTCACAATTCTCTCACTCTTTCTAATCAGCTATGGGTGTTCACTCATTCAGTTAATCCAATCAGATTCAGCCACAATCTCCTCCAGCCAATCACGTTGCTCCTGTCAAACTATAAATCTCCTCTCTGCTGCTTTCAGCTGTTATTTCAGTGTGAAATGGTTGAGACCCTCCTCCACCCCTTTCACCTCCAGTTCATCATTTCCAGATCTTCAGTATTCTCTTCATTCCTTCATCACCACCACCCTCAATCGGTGGGTTTCCTGTACTGATCACGGCTTCACCGAGCCCCTCAAATATAGTGACGTCACAATGGGGTCTAATTAGACATTTAACAGTCTCATCTTCAAAGTGCACATATCCATTATATCTGTTCATTCAAATGAAGTCTCATCTGATTGAAGTTTATCTACAAGAACATGTAAACTAACTAGCTAATGACGCACACATATGCATTAAACCACTAAACATGGAAGACTAGTGTTAGTTGATCCATTATCATAAGGGACAGACCTTGTAGGGGTCCACAGAACACTTACTGACATAGTTCCACTTGGAGGAGTAAAGATTATAGATGTGTTTTGGAGACACGATTAACAATGGTCACTCACTGTGGATTTCTATTCTGCTCTCCTCCACACTAACATCTATTATCTGCTCTTTGTACGTCACTAGTTGTGCAGGTAGCAGAGCTAATTCTAAAGATAACTGCCTGGTCGCAGCACATTTCCTGTGTCAGAGATACAGTATGTCTGTGTACTGTATTCTGTATAGGCAACCATTAATGCAGCTATGCACAAATGTGTGAATGTCAGCTCACATCTCTGCTGCTGAAAACATTGTACTTCCTCAATCTCACTGTCAGTAAATAAAGACCAAAACAAACAAATTCAAATGTACTTTTATATTGTTTATCTGAAGGGTTTCATGATTCCAAAGACTGAACCACTGAATTAACCACCTCACTGTGAGTCAGGTTAAAGTTAGGTGGGCTTTTCTTCTAACAGTAAAATGTGTTTAGTTGTGTATCTGTGGTTGACTGGGCTAGTCCTGCTGTCACTTCCTGTGTTAAAGGCTGTCCGACTCAAAGACAAACACACAGACAGTGAAGCCTCTTCAAGAATAGGTTCAGTTCAGTTTTTCAAGATGTCTGCAGATATTCTTGCTGCACCAGATTTGAGCTTGAATGTGAGATGTACAAGAAAGGTCAAAGAGAACCAGGGAGAGGATGAGGAGAATCAGATGGAGATCACAGAGGATGAAGAGTATCACGTTGATCTTGGGCCACAAGCAGCCAGTAAGTCCCCAAATGACTATGTTAAAATTAGATATTGATAATTCACTATAGGTTATTATCAGGAGTGTTTGTGCTGTAGTCTGGTGCCACAGGATTCTTATTGAGAGTGTCAATGAGTAACAAATACTCCACAGTTCAAACAGCCCACTTCTAACTTTAAACCAGCATAATCAATGTTCTTTATGTATTTTGCCTCTTTAGGAGCACAAACTCAAAAGAATCGTGCAGCTGTCAAAAGAAGGTGTTTCAAAGCCACTACAGTGACTCTGGGAGTGATGTATCTTCTGATATTGGCTGGAACCTACATTCGCTGTGAGGAAGTCACTTTTTAATCCAAACTGTCATATCTTGAGTCCCTCTCTGCTTTTTACATGTCGTGTTTGAAGCTTTTCTCTGTTAGATAACATAACAGGTGTATATCTATGTATTTTGTGAGTTTCTTCCTGCGATTAGTGACATAGTGAGTCATTTTGTCCAAGAGACTTTTTGGGAAGAACACTGAAGCTACTCGACACAGGTTCAGACTGGTTTCGCTCTGTGTAGAAGAGGAAGTTACCAGAATTTGTGAACACTTGAAAGAAATAACTATACACAAAAACCAGTAGGCACATGTATCATGTGTTGATGTACAGAAACAGTCTCTTGGAGCCACACCCTCAACACAACAGGAATTTAGAATCTTTTCAGTCATTTTTTGTCATTTCCACGCATTGTACTTGAACACACCCTCACTACAGATTAAACTGGATCGACTTCAGATTGGGTCAGTGCAATGTAAGTAATCTAACTGTAACTAGAGGTAAGCAATATGACTATATTTATAATGTGACGATAGACTAACATTTATTGTTTCATATTTGCTCTATCATTTATTTTATTGGATCACAAGTCACACTCTTCTGGAGTTCATATGAGAGAAATATGTGCTCTGAAGTGGTCGATGAGGCAGCGATGCAACAGAAAGCAAGTGTTTCACTAGCTCACCAACTAGTTTCATCTGCTCACCTGGCTCTCTCTCCCCCATACACACACACGTGGACACTGGCTCGCCCCGCCTCTTCCTGTGAGAGAGAACTCTCTCTGTCACAAACAACTCGGGTTTTGAATTTTTCATCCACGATTCTCTTTTTACGAACAGATGAGGCTTGTGTGGTTGTGGTACCGTACTGTACCTTTACTCTACTTGTAAAATATCTGACTCAGAGTACCAGATAACTCTCTCTCTCTCTCTCTCTCTCTCTCTCTGTTTCTCGGTGGTTAAATGTGTCGCTGTACGTTAAAATCCCTGGGTGGACGGCCCAAGTAAAGTCTTAAGTAGGAGACACTGAGACATTAATATTTGATGCTTAATTGAAATTTTGCTCAAAAGTTATAATTAAAAGCAGAAAAATAATCAAATATGAGTGAGTACATTTTATTTGTTATGTATATAATTCAAACTGTGATAATAAATAGGTATTTTTCCATGTGGTCATTTTATATGAACTACTGATTCATTGAATTAACAGAAAATGTGCTATACTGTGATATATATTGTTATTGTGATATTATATTTTGGTGATATCACACAACCAGAGTTGTAACATGACTGTAAATTGTCCAATCAGCCCTAAACTTCATATGTTTGATCAGAGTCCTGGACTGAACACATCTACATGCCAATATTCAGTCATAGCTCCACCTACTGGCAATTGGAAGTAAGTCTTGTATGGCAATCATCATTTGATTGACAGCTAATTCTGATGGTGTGGTCTACACATGATATGCTGGAACATAAGGTATAATTAGTGGCCGTTCTCTAGTGTCACATAGTGGGCACAGGAAGTAATATTTAAGTCCTCTGTGCTGCTATTTATTTTTTTTATTTTAAACTGCAGCTCAGGATTCACTTACTGTTCCCTCTCCAAAAGTTATAAAAGATTTTTTATTTATTTAGTCTTTTTAATTGATCTCTTAAAAAAAACTCTACAGAATTGACAAACACACAGTGGTCATTTTATACAGAAATACTGGTACTAATAAAAATAATAATGTCAATAAAAGTTCAAATATTTACAATTTAATTATTTTTCACTTTAATGCTTTCCTTGTGTTTGTCTCCTCACTTTTGAGGACATTTTCTCTCTGTACTGTGAACACTTCAGACCAACTGTGTAAAGTGCTAAAAAAAACAAAGTTGAGTTTTTTTATGTTAATGAAATTATTGTTTCTTCTTTCAAAATCTCTGAATGAAATTAAACTCTGTATGAACATCTAATGAGCAGTTATATCTTTTGTGCCTCTCACCAGATATTTCAGTCACTTTGGAAAAAACCCAACTGCAGACCAGATACGACCAACTGAGTAACAACTGCAGCCAACTCCAGGGAACACTGTCAGGTAAGAAAGGTTTCAAACACATACCACAAACATACAGGATCCAACTTCACACTGCCTACTTGGTATAAATATTGTCATATTGTCTTACTGTTTCTATTGTTGTTTATCTCAATCCATGGAAGTCAACAACAGTCAGTTACAGGATGAAGTGAAGCAGCTGAAGGATAAAATTGAAGGTGAGATAAAAAAATGAGTAAACAGCCTGAAAATAAAATGATGCTGGCATTAAAGATCTTAAATTAAAGAGTGTAACTTCAAGTTTTACCAATTTGACACTGAATGACATGAAATCTATGTTTGAAACACTTCTGACATTAAGGAAAGTGGTGTCCTGAAGGATGGAGGAAATTTGGATACAGTTGTTACTTTAAATCCAATGAGTGGAAAACCTGGTATGACAGCAGATCTGACTGTCAGAACAAAGGAGCAGATCTGGTGATCATAAACAACGAAGAGGAACAGGTGAGAGTGTTTGTTACTGAGTGTGTGATCCTACTAACTGCCAGTCATCTGTTACTTGTGTGTTTGAGCTGCTGTCAGATTTATTTGCCCGATTGGTCGGCCTTCAGGTCCCGATTTGTAAGAGTGTTCATTGACAATTGATTCTCATACAGTGCCTCTAATTCAACCTGCTGTCACTCTGTGTACTGTGTAGACATTTGTTGACCACTTCCCTGTTGCTTTTCTCAATGAGCTCTGACCTACGGTTCTTTTAAAGGGGAACTTCGGCAGATTTTTACCCTAGTCTTGATCACTATAGGTCCCCGAGTACTGTCGATAGGAAAAAGGACGACCAGAATTGGTGCTAGCAAACTGGAGATCCTGCAGCTAATGGCCAGAGCTCCCAGTTAGTTATAATACACTTTGTGGGGGCATATCCTAAAGAGTGCTTTTGCTCCTCTTAACAGACACAAAATGCAGTTAAAATGTCTGTGCAACATGCTCAGGGCCCTTACGTGACAACAACATGCCTTTTCAACTCATACGTTGTGCAGAAACCGTACAAACAGTACTGTCACCTCCCTGTTTTTACACCGCTCGCTTCACCGAAAGCCCAGAATAATCGATCACAGAGATAATGCCTTCACGACGAAAAACAGTTTATTTCCCCCTCAACAATGTCCATGTCTTCACACACTACTCTCCGATTTGCACACTTCCTGCAACAATCTCTTCTTCTGCGTTTCCCTGCAACAAGTGAATTCCCACGGGACTTCAGCCCGGACGGTGTGGAAGCCATCCACGGAGACGATCTGGTCCATTATGTCCCTGTGCAGCCATGTCTCAGTGAAACACATCAGACTGCACTCCCGGTACTCCGGGTGGCGCTGTTAGCTCGTCCATTTTGTTGCTAAGGGACCCTCTCTATAAGCCCGTCCCGTCTCCACCCTCCTCTCATTCCCTGACGTTGCTTCCCTCCTCTGCATCCCCGGTGTGTTTTCCTCCAGAGTTCAGGTGGTATATCAGCTGCTCTGGCCACTACGCCGGCCGGCATTAGCGGGATCAGCTGTTCTCCGGAGTAAACAAAGGCGGCGTGTTCCGGTGGAAGCAGCATGATAACAACAACACGTAGAAAAGCACGAAAACTCTCTGAAAACAACCTCGTTGGAGAGGACGGGACTTCACATAGTTACAGTGAAGAAACAAGAACGAACAAAAGAGAATAAAAGTTAAGAAAGTTAAAAACTTTTGCGCATGCGCACATGGCTTTTGTACGTGTTGTTTTTATTATGCCGCTTCCACCGGAAGCATAATAAAACGCTGAATTTCAGTGTTTGTGATTTTTGCAGCATGGAGGAACTGAAAAGTTCAGACAGATTTTCTTTTTCCTTCAGACACAAAATGACTTTATTACAACAGAAATACTGAATTATGAACAGAGAAATGATTATTGTCTGTTGTTAAATAATAGAAGTTTGTCACTGAGCTGAATTGGTATGGAGATTCCTGGATTGGACTACAGGGAACAAATGGAAAATGGACAGGATCAGGATGGGTATGGGAATGGAAATGGGTGGACAGTTCACCACTGACACAAACGTGAGACATTTTAATGTTTTTTTCTATCACATTTTCACTAAAATAAGTATGTTTTAAAAATGAAAATGTGCTTATTGAACCAGCACTATATCAGCATACAGTATACTGTATATTACAGTATATGCACTGTACTGTATTAATGCAGGCTCCAGGATCAACATGTGTTTGACAGAGAGAAAACTTCTCAATTCTGTCAAATAAATGTGATTAAAGTTACTGTAACTCCTGTTTTTGGGGCTGATTCCTATAAAAATAACTCCAATAAATTACTGAAAAAAGAGAAATAAGGTTATTGAACAAGGTTTTATTAGTGAATTGGCGGCTCTTACAGATTATATTAATTAACTAGAAAATTCCTAAAGAAATTTTGATTGTGCCTTGCTCTGGCCCGTGACACTGGCCCATACATTACTGACACTGCCGAGTAGTTTACCATTGCTTAGGTATGTGACAGATGAAGCTTTCAACGTGTGTGTTCATTTGAGAGAACAAATGGAAATAGCAGTAGTTGACGCGACAAAGTCGGCCAAAAAGTTAGTATTTATGTATTATTTTGATGCCGAATTGACCAGAAGACTGTTGAGATATGATGAGTTTTTTTCCTTGTGTTTCTACAGTTATGTGATTTTATGTAAGCGCAATTAATTGTTAATATATGGTATTTCTTAAATGGAGTTTGGCATAATATTGTCCTGGGATTATGCAGGAAGCGTCATGGTTTAATTAAAATAGGTAAAGTAACTAAATAAGTAATAACCATAATAGTGGGAATAATAAGTATGTAGTTATAATAATAATAATAATAACTAACAGTATCAATAACACTGATAACAATATTTATATTAATAAATAATACATAATTATGAAAGAAAACTATTCTTAATGTGCAGTCATAGGCAGTGTAGGTTTTTTAAAGTTTTAGAAAAGTGTCCACCAGACCCTCTACCTGTTAACATACAATGAACGTTGTAGACTTTTATTTTGAAACCCCACCCTCAGCCTGAAAGCAATAGTGCAGTTACAGTCTGAGTGTCAAAATAAATCTAACTTCATGTTTTATTAGTAAATCTGTATTACCTGTGTAATGTGTAACAAGTTGAAATAGATGCTAATTAACAATTTCAGTGTCTTTTGTGACGTTTAATTAGCACAGTAATCCTTTGTCCTCTCTAGCTAGCGAGTGCTAGCACATTAGTAGCTTATCCTCTCTAGCAAGCAAAGCATTTTAATTAATTAGCATTTTAATTAATTAGCTAGCCTTCTAATACCTTCTAATTCTCTTTAGCTAGCGCTAGTTTATTAATGCCTTGTCAGCCTCTGTAGCTAGCTGTGTGTGTGTGTGTGTGTGTGTGTGTGTGAGCAGGCTTTGGTTGTCATGGCAATCAGGGGAGCCCACAGCAGCTACGCGCTCTCTCTCTGTCTCTAACTCCTCAGAGAGACAGAAACATTTAAAATGAATCCCCTCGAACCCATGGCCAGGAACGACCGAAATGAAAACCGAAAAGACCGTGAGCGTCGTCATCTTGTTGACTATAGCACTGCCGAGTTTCAGTGGCTAAAGTTAAAAAATGTGACCTCAGGAGATTGAGAGAGAAGAGGTTCAACGAGCTCCTTTAAACATTTCTTCTCTAAAATTAACATGGGAGTAGATGGGGCCGTGAGAGGGTGTTGCTGGCGCATCAGTGCATCTCCCGCCAAAACTATTTGTCTGACAGCTTCAGACCCCAACGGATTTACCTACGTTTCTATGTATAAATTATTTCTGTAGAGTGACATTTGTGGTCTTGAGAGCAGTTTACAAATTTATTTTTCTACAATTTTTTCTGTCTCCCCACACTCTAGCGATGATGTCACGCACTCTGGCGGTTGAAGGTTCTCGCAATACACACCCATTCATTTTTTGGACCGGTTTTTGGCGATTTGTCGGCAAACCGTTTGGCGAAACGCTTAGAAAAGTCATAGCACTAATCTCCTCATCGAGCCGCACGTTTTGATACCTTTTTTGTGTACGTGCGACAAAAGCTGCGGGAGGAGTAGCGCGCCGAAAAACGTAGGGAAGAATAATAATAAGCACGGGGAATAGTAGTATTGTGCTCGCTTATGCAAGGCACAATAATAAAGCTGAAATACATGTTCAGGAAGTTATTAAAAAATGTTATTGATTAGAGATAATGTAAAATATTTGAGGTGAAAATCAACAGCTTGCTGTGTTTAAAAGGAAAATATTTTCTTTGTCCTCCAGGTTCTGGGCATCAGGAATGCCATATGGTTCGCAGAACCAGTACACAGCAGCATGCTGTGATACACAAGGAAAATGGAAAGTAAGCAGTTCTTATGATACTAAAAACTGGATCTGTGAGAAATAGATTTCTTGCTTTCTTTAACAACAGAGAAGTGTGCAGTTTTGTCAAATCAGATTAATGTACGTTTTATATTTGTTCAGTTATTCTGTGTTGCATGCTGAATAACCTGGATTACACAGATATTGTTTCTCTGCTATACATAAGGCTGGTTGGAAGTCATCCACACAACTACACATGCACTTACTCTGTAGCCCTACAGGATTATTACAATTAATGAACTGCAGCTTGTCTTTACTTTGGTTAATTAATAAAGTTGTATTCAGTTAGATCTGTCTGTGTTTATTAAGTGACAATAATGCCACTGCTGCCAAGTTTTTCCTGTGTCCCCTTTGATACACCAGCTGCTAATATCACTTCCCACTGAGAAGTTTCACCAGGAGAGTTAAACATCCATGGAGGTTCATGTTAAGACTCTTCAGCCTGTTTAATGTCAAACTGTCTTCCTTTCACACAAAGGACTGCAGTTCATGTATCTCACCCTAACAATAACTGTAGGTTTCCACCAGGATAAAGACATTTCCCTGATCTGTACCAAGGCCTAATTTACATTCATTGCAAGTGTCTCTCAGTTAGCTCTGTCACAAATCTGAATGCAATCATTATGTCATCTCTGTCATAACATTAGTCTTTATAGTCATGTGTTACTTCCTGTTTTATTTTGTAGTTGTCCTCCTCTTGTGTTCTGTGTTGTTTTACTTCCTGTCTTTGTCTTTTTCCGTCTAGTTTGATTGTTTGCCAGCCTTGACTGTGTTCACCTGTGTCTCGTTAGTTTCCCCTCACTATATATTGCCTGTGTTTCATTCTCCCTCTGCCAGTTTGTCTTTGTACCTTTGTGTTGGTTATTAACATGGATTAGGATTACAGCTTGTTTTTGGACTCTGCCTCTCCGTATCTGGTTTTGTTACTTGTGTTTCGTGGACCTCCTGTGTACCAAACCTTCATTTGTATTAAGTAAAGATTTTAAGACTTCAAGATCCTGTGTCATCTGTCGTTTCTTTTGGGTCCCTCGTGGTTCACTCAGTCCTAATACCTTCTAAATGCAAATAGGTTGCAGTACTGCTCCAGTCCAGTGGGTGGTGATAATGCACAATGCAGACCTTCTCATTGTGCCTCATTCATTCACAATTCTCTCACTCTTTCTAATCAGCTATGGGTGTTCACTCATTCAGTTAATCCAATCAGATTCAGCCACAATCTCCTCCAGCCAATCACGTTGCTCCTGTCAAACTTTAAATCTCCTCTCTGCTGCTTTCAGCTGTTATTTCAGTGTGAAATGGTTGAGACCCTCCTCCACCCCTTTCACCTCCAGTTCATCATTTCCAGATCTTCAGTATTCTCTTCATTCCTTCATCACCACCACCCTCAATCGGTGGGTTTCCTGTACTGATCACGGCTTTACCGAGCCCCTCAAATATAGTGACGTCACAATGGGGTCTAATTAGACATTTAACGGTCTCATCTTCACTGTGCACATATCCATTATATCTGTTCATTCAAATGAAGTCTCATCTGATTGAAGGTTAGTTACAAGAACATGTAAGCTAACTTGCTAATGATGCACACATATGCATTAAACCACTAAACATGGAAGACTAGTGTTAGTTGAGCCATTATCATAAGGGACAGACCTTGTAGGGGTCCACAGAACACTTACTGACATAGTTCCACTTGGAGGAGTAAAGATTATAGATGCGTTTTGGAGACACGATTAACAATGGTCACTCACTGTGGATTTCTATTCTGCTCTCCTCCATACTTACATCATTTATCTGCTCTTTGTACGTCACTAGTTGTGCAGGTAGCAGAGCTAATTCTAAAGATAACTGTGGTCACAGCACGTTTCCTGTGTCAGTGTGTGTAGGTATTGTGTGGGCAACCATTAATGCAGCTATGCACAAATGTGTGAATATGAGGACACACCTCTGCTGCTGAAAACACTGTACAATAAATAAAGACAAAAACAAACAAATTCAAATGTATTTTTATATTGTTTATCTGAAGGGTTTCATGATTCCAATGACTGAACCACTGAATTAACCACCTCACTGTGAGTCAAGTTAAAGTTAGGTGGGCTTTTCTTCTAACAGTAAAATGTGTTTAGTTGTGTATCTGTGTGTGTGGTCTTGTCCTGCTGTCACTTCCTGCGTTAAAGGCTGTCCAACTCAAAGACAGACACACAGACAGTGAAGCCTCGTCAAGAATAGGTTCAGTTCAGTTTTTCAAGATGTCTGCAGATATTCTTGCTGCACCAGATTTTAGCTTGAATGTGAGATGTACCAAAAAGGTCCAAGAGAACCGGGGAGAGGGAGAGGAGAATCAGATGGAGATCACAGAGGATGAAGAGTATCACGTTGATCTTGGGCCACAAACAGCCAGTAAGTTTCCAAATGACTATGTTAAAATAAGATAATATAATAATAAAGATAATCAATGTTCTTTATGTATTTTGCCTCTTTAGGAGCACAAATTCAAAAGAATCGTGCAGCTTTCAAAAGAAGGTGTTTCAAAGTCACTATAGTGACCCTGGGAGTGATGTATCTTCTGATATTGGCTGGAACCTACATTCGCTGTGAGGAAGTCACTTTTTAATCCAAACTGTCATATCTTGAGTCCCTCTCTGCTTTTTCTAATGTCGTGTTTGAGGCTTTTTTATGTCAGACGACATAACAGGTGTATGTCTATGTATTTTGTGAGTTTCTTCCTGTGATTAGTGACATAGTGAGTCATTTTGTCCAAGAGACTTTTAGGGAGAAACACTAAAGCTACTCAAGACAGGTTCAGACTGGTTTCGCTCTGTGTAGAACAGGAAGTTCCCAGGATTTTAACACTTAAAAGACAGAATTCAACTCATATCAAGTTTATAGACAGCAGTGTATATATAGCACACTTTGCCATTGTTATGACTGTATAACTGTTGTTCACTGTAAGAATGTGTTAATCTTCACTAAATGACTATTTGGATGTATATGTATGAATAATGGAGCAGATGGGATTGAAATTTGTTTGTATCCCACAATAATGTCTCCATTAATCCAGACGAAATACACAAGACATAAGGACAGGTGAGACAATGAGTAATGTAAGATCTGATTTCTGTATAACTGCCATAAAACTGTGGAAATCTCTTCCCCTCACCACATGTTTCTCCTCTGACATTTATGTGTTAGCCTTTAACTTTGCCTAACCAGCTCAGGTATTTCTTCTGAATCCTCTATGGGTGTGTGTTATTATTGTTATTATTATTATTATTATTATTTATTTTTCTTGTGTTTGTCTCATTTTTGTTCTGCTTTCTCGATGTACTCTGAAGCACTTCAGACAAACTGTGTTGTGTGTACTACATAAGTTGAGTTTATTTGGGTACGTTTCTGAACTCATTTGTTCTTCTTTTAAACTCAGTAGGAACATCTGATGAGCAGATATATGTTTTGCTCCTCTCACCAGATATTTCAGCTTTTTCGGAAAAAGACGAGCTGCAAAGTAGATGCAGGGACAACAACATGCACAACAATCACAGCCAGTTACAGGAGGAAGTAAAGCAGCTCCAGGCAAAAATTTCAGGTAAGAAAATCTGTAAAACATAAAAACTACACCTGCAAGCTGGTATCCTGGGGTCAAAACACAATTCAGAACTAAACCCAGACCCAGAGCGAACAAGTAGGAAAAACTGTTGTTCGTTCTGTTTGTGTAAAGAGATTAAAGACACACAATGTGTTAAATACTGAGCTTTATATCCGCTGGGAGGTGAAATTGTGAACTCTGGAGAGAGAGAGAGAGCTTCTTAACTTCAGTTAACAGGGAACTATGAAAAACTGAGTAGAAAGAACAGTTGGTTACGTATCACATCAAACAAACCAGCTTCAGGGCAAATTTGAAGATGAAAAATGTGAACATAAACAAATGGCAAACAGCAGTATCATACAAATGCACAAGTTATACCTTTCCTATCTTTCTTTTAAACTGTTTCATGTTATTGATCAGCTTCTTAATTATTGGTTCACTTAAAGAAAGAGATACAAATCAGTCTAAAGTGACAATGGACACGACGGAGAGACAAAACTTAAGAATACTTCCTACAAATATACCACTGAATGACCTAAACAAACTTATTTGACAATAAGGGATGTGCTGTCCTGAAGGATGGGAGAAATTTGGATGCAGCTGTTACTATAAAAGCACAGAGAGGAAAAAATGGGAGGAGAGCAGAACAGACTGTCTGAACAGAGAAGCAGATCTGGTGGTCATTAACAGCAGAGAGGAACAGGTGAGTGTCTTTCTTAAAAGTCCAGTGTGTAGGATTTAGGGACATCTAGTGGTGAAGCTGCACATTGCATCTCACTCAGAAATGTGGCAGTTCAAACGGCAGCCTCTACTACAGTCGACCCGTGTAGTCTGTAGAAAACAACAGCTCATTCTAAGGTAACAAAAACAAAGCGATTCTTTTTTCCAGGTGATTATACACTAATAAAAACATACCTATGAATATTATATTCCATTTCTGACAACAGCTTTATTAATGTTTTATACCTTGGTGTCTGCTGTTATCTTATTTTCCACAAATTGTAAAATCGCCAAGAGACTTTTTGTAGTTGTAGTTTTGTTTTGGTTACTGCACATTTGCATTTGAATATGTTTCTTAAAAGTCAAGAAAAACAACAACTTATTTTCACTTTTGTCAAATGATCAGGAGTTTGTTAGAGAGTTCAGAAAACCTGGAGCCTCCTGGATAGGTCTAAAGGCTGAGTACAAACACGAATCAACAGGATGGAAACCCAAATGGAAATGGGTGGATGGAACACTGCTGACAGTTATGTAAGACATTTTTTGTGTTCATAATGCCATCAAAAGGGTGTAACTAATAGAAGTATACATTAAAAAGTAGGGCGCAAAAAAGGTTGCACAGAAAAGAGATACGGAATTAAATGAGACAACAAAATGCTAAATTGTGGTTGAAATCTTCATATGCAGTGTGTGTCATTTCATTATAGTCCTAATTTAAAAAATAAGTGATAATTTAATAGGACATATAAATGTGCTGTAAGATTGTTTCAAAATGAAATCATCAGTGCTTTTTTGTTTTGCAGGTTCTGGGAAACGGGGCACTCTCAAAAGACCTGGTTCCAGTATGTAGAATGCTGCAGTGAACAAGGAAATTGGACACAAAGCAGACATTATAATTCTAACACTTGGATCTGTGAAAAAACGAGCGCTTGCTTTCTTTGTCAATAGTGTGTAGTGTTAGGATTAAGTAAAAGTAAGTGTACTACTTTTGTAGTTACTCACTCTGTAGTAATAAAATAATACTATTACAATAAAAGCATTTTTACTTTTATAACAAAAATAGTTTTTAGTTTAGTTTATGTCAACCTGCAAAAATGATCTTGTTTGGCCACTTGGGGGCAGCAAAAATAAGATGTAAACCAGTTGTCTCAAACTTACCTTGGGGCTACTGCTGCTGTCATCTCATAAATTCATTTTGATTTTGTGTGTATGTGAGTGTACAGAATTTGAGTGTGAGTTAAATATTGCCATTAATGCCAGAAAAATGTTAGTGAAGAATTGTCGTAAAATCAGTATTTTAATTTGTGCTGTGCAACATTTCAACCGATTGTAGATTTTCATGATGTCTGATGAAGATTTTGATTCATTTTAAATGTATTTTATTCTAAATGCAGCATTATTGTCAGATCAAATGCAATAACAAGGACTTCTTCAGTGTCTGACTGTCAGTGGGTATGTACAGTAGTTCATGGGTTTTACTTCAACCTGAAATAATGTTCTTGTTTGGCCACTTGGGGGCAGCAAAAATAAGATGTAAATCAGTTGTCTCAAACTTACCTTGGGGCCACTGCTGCTGTTGTCATCTCAGTAATTCATTATTGTCCTTAATTTAGCTTTTGTGTGTATTTCAATGTACATAATTTGAGTGTGTGTGTGTGTGTGTGTGTGTGTGTGTGTGTGTGTGTGTGTGTGTGTCATGTAACAGAGATAACGTCCCTATTTCTCTGTCTGCAGAATGATAAAATGAGTTGCTGACCATCAATCTGTGTAGGGGGGGAATATCAGCCGATAACGATCAATTGGAACACCTTTAGATTTAATTATGCATAATGTATTTGTCTTTATTTATTTTATTTTCTAACAGGCCTCTTTAAGACACCAGTAGGTGTGAGTCTGATCGGGATGTTGTTGGAAAAGAGTGAAACTTACCTTTTCTTTAAAAAAAATTAAAATGAAAATAATAAAATGGCCAGTTGGGCAGATGCAATGTAGATATAAAGCCAAGTCGCTGAATATCTGCTCTTTGATTAGGTGAGAGCAGGATTTAAAAGCAACTTAGCTTGTCAGAGGGCCCAGTACTGAGACCCACTGCATCCAGATAGCAGAAAGATATCACTTCCTGTTTTCTCTGTACAGCAGCGGTTACCTTCTCTCATGTAAAGTATCAAAACAGACTCACCACCGGGCCCGGTTCTCCCCGATCACCTCTGGCTCCTCTGATTCCGGAGCCTCCCTGTTTGAAACAAACAAGCAGCATGAGTTGATTCGTGGGACACAGTTAAACAGCCAAAGCTGACAAACAAGATGAGATACAAGAGATATGAGTTTTAATTTGCCAAACCAAACAGTGAAAATAAAAGTGTACTGCATGTATTAAAGTAATTCAAACTGTACATGAACCATGTGACATGCAAGTGATTCTGTGTCTTCCTCCATCTGTGTGACTGCATGCATGAATGTGTGGTAAATGGTAAATGGAGTTCATTTATATTGCACTGTTCAGCTCTACTGACCACTCAAAGCGCTATGCAACTCATGCCAACACACACATCCATACACTGATGGCAGAGGCTGCCATGCAAGGTGCCAACCGGCTCATCGTGAACAATACAACCTATCCAAAACGCCCCGCAATTGATTCTGTGCTCACCCATTCACACACACACACACTCAGTGATTTGGGGTTCAGTATATTGCTCAAGGATACTTGGACATGCAGACCGAGGAGGTGGGGATCGAACAACCAATCTTATGATTAGTGATGACGACTGACCCACTCTACCTCCTGAGTGTGTTTGGGTACATGGATACTGTTGCTCTCTGCCTGTTTGTTAAACTGCTGCATTATAGATACTGACACATTATTTCCTGATGTAAGAATAGCTGAAACATTGATCACAGTGTCGGTTAAATATTGCCAGTAATGTACTAAAAAATGTGTTTTTATTTCGATGGTGCTGTGCAACATTTCAACTAATCGTAGATTTTCATGATGTCGGATGAAGATGTTTACTTGCACTATAATCTAAATGCAGCATTATTGTCAGATCAAAGGCAGTAACCAGGACTTCTTCAGTGTCTGACTGTCAGTGGGTATGTACAGTATTTGATGGGTTTGTGTGTAGCTCACTGGTGGTCCAGCAGGGCCGGGGGGGCCTTTGCTGTCCTGGGTGCAGGTGCAGGCTTTGGGCATGGCCGGGCAGTCTACCTCCTTCCTCTGGATGATCACAGCAGGATGAAGATGAAACAAACAAAAGATAAATAAAAGGCATGGCATTGACATGTCATGATAAGTGATCAAATAGAGCAGGCAAAGTGGCAGTGTGACTTATTAAAAAATATATATTATTATTAAATTATTAAATCTGAAATCTCTGCATTAATGTCACCGAACTGTATATTTCAGGTCACAGCAAAAGATTAATTTAGAATAAATTGCTCCCTTATTTAATGCATCTCTTTCTGAAACTGGATATTTCTATGATGGTTTTATTTCCACCTCCAGACAAGTTACCATTAAAGAAACAATGTTCTCTGAAAGGAAATGATGCATTTAAGAAATGATTGTAAAAGAGGTGAGTGCTACAGCATGCTCACTGACTTTAACTCTGAATGTTACCAAACATTATTATCATTTGCAAACTTCACAACACAGATTTTATTCATTTTCACTCAGATTACATACTCAGTTTGTAGAATTGCTAAGTTTGTTCTTCATAGTTTTTATTCTAGTGCACACACTACCCAGTCGTGTAGTAGTTACATTATTCTGTGTACAGACAGAGGAGTAAACTGGAATAAAGAGAAGTTTAGAGAAACATAAACTTTGACCTCACCAGACCAGGAAGTTCACAGCACTTGTCTCTGCTGGCCCACGAAGTGCTGCAGACGATGTCAAAGCTCTGGAGCTGGAACTGCAGGGGAGGAAAACACACACAACAAAGTTTAACAACAAAAGCAACAACGTATAAATGAATAATGTAAAAATACACAACTGAACTTCTAACACCAAGACGTGATGTCGGACGGTGAAGAAGGTGCTAGAAAGGGTTCAGCAATGAGTTGTCTTGCTCTTATTTAGGTCACAAATATGACACAATTCAGTGTATTTTACTTTATTTGTACAGTAATCAATAACTGTTCACTGTCTGAGGCACCTACACTCACACGGATAGTTTTATCTAAAGAGTTCATTTTAACCTGAGCATTCATAACTTACTCAAAGTACTCATGTCTCAGTGTTGACGTCTGCATCTTAATTATTAAATAAGTAAGTACAAGAAGATTTTATTTTGCGTATAATGCGAATATTTTTATGCCCTTATGCGAACAGTGACAGCCTAAAGCCGGAACCGAACCCAGGCCTCTGCAGCAAGGACCCAGCCCCAGGTCTCAGGCACACACACTACTACTGAGGCAACACGTTATCCCCTGAAATGCATTGTGAAACTTTCTGTGTGGGACAACAGAGGAGGGAAAGTCGACATCGCCAAAACAAATACAATGAGAATTTAAAGTCGCATTTTTATTTCACATGATAAAATCACTGATGATCTCTGCAACTGCAACAGATCACCAGATGTCCTGAGGTATTTTAGTGCTGTGCAAATAAGATTTGTAATCATAATCCTGTCTCTAATGCCCCCCCCCAAAAAAAAAGATTACCCCAGATTTGCTTTGAACTCTTTTGCAACGGTCTGTGTTTTCAGTTTGTGTAATTAGGCGTGGTGAATTCTGAGGTACAAAATTAGAGTATTAGTCAGGGCCGCCCTGTGATTCACGGGGTTTAAAACACAGTGGGAGATTATAATCCTCATCTTCCATTATAGAAGTATTCAAAGAACCAAAGTAGCAAGAAGAACACATTCAGCTGCTCCTGGAGGCTAATGTTTAAAAATCCTTCTAGAGAAGCTAAATATGTTCTTCCTTTCTGCTTTATTCTGGTTCAAGAACCTTGTCGTACTGTGAGGTTGTGTTGTTAATGTGCGTACGCCTAAGTGTCCAATCAATACAAAGAAAGGATTAGCAGCTGGGTTAAAGGCTGCTATCAAGGCTCATATCAGCAGATATTTTTCTGTGAAAAACCACCAGCTCGACTGCTCAGTTCTGGCCACTCACACAACAGCGAGCAGTGGAGAAAATGTTAAAATGACACTGGTGAAGATTATTTGACATGTAAGTGGAATTCTTTAGCTTCAGAGCAGAGTCAGTGTCAAGGGTATTCTCTTCAAAGTGAGATCAAACCAATCAGACACAAAGTCTGCCGGCCTGCTATTCCTGAAGGAGAGTGCCTGGAAATGGATTTGTTTGCGCTCATAAAGCTGCTCGAGGAAATGGTTCTGCTTTGATGAAAAAATGAAACATAGATGAAACCTCTGCAACAGCTGAAGACCAAATACTGTTATAACTTATAATTCATGTAGTTACTACGGTTGGCAAAAAAAGGCATCAGAGAACATCAATGTGAACACGCCAAGCAGAGAGAGCCTTCTTGTTTTATCTGAGGGTGCTGTTGATGGTCTTATTCCTGGGCAGCTATTGGTTTCTCTTCATTTCACTGTACTATGAAAATCAACTTACAGAGACTTGAAACTTGCTTAACATTGGTTATTGATCACAATCAACATTTAGTTGTTTTGATTATTCCTATTCCTAACATTTGGGAAATTACAGTCAGCTTTTTGAAAACTAAGACGCTGTGAATCATGTGAATCATTTGAATTTGGTTGTTTCTCAGCAGGGATATTTTTATAAATAGGCACCTGTCACACTAACAAGTAAACATTTAGTAACTGAACATTTTGTTGCCTTTACTGTTTTTTAGTGTTATGTGAATAATAGTGTGTGCTTTTCTTTTCTTTTACTGTAGTTTCTCTAAAAGCACACTGGTCCTGTAATGCCTGTGTGTGTGTGTGTGAGATATACTGTATGTGTGTGTGTGTGTGTGCCATCCTCACCGGTGCAGAGTTGTCCTTGTTCCCTCTGGAGCGGACCATCCTGCCCAGAACTTCCAGTCCGTCTATGGAGATGTTTCCCGCTGCGTTGATGTTTTTCTCGGCCACCATCTTGCAGTCGATCACCACTTTGGCGCTCGTCTTGCTGATTGCAATGTGGAGCTGCGTGAGAGAAAACATCCAATCACACAATCACTTCTTGGAACTTGTTTGCAGTGATTCAAACAACGGAAACAATAAATTAATAAATCACTTAAGTCGACCTGAGAGTTGGACAGTTCATCATGTTTTCTTCATTATAGATCATTTGCCTGCTAGTTGAAATAAGCCATATGAAGACAGTAGTTTTAATATTTTATAGACACAGGCCTCTGAAGAGGATCCGTATTTTACTCTTTCACACATCTGCAGCCTTTAGAAGGTTTTAGATCAATCTGCTGCAGAACAGCGCCCTCTTCCTGTGTGGTGCTAAAAAGTAAAGCAGATTTCCTTCCAAATCCAAAAGACTCAAAAGGTAAACAGACAATAGAAGGTAGAGAGGCTGATAATGGCTTACCGTCCGCTTTACATTACTTTATTCATCAACAGCAACACACACTAATTAACAGCAATTTGATATAAAACAAAACATACTTAAAAGCAAACTAACTAAACTCCAAACATCTTATCTGCTTGTTTTCAACTGTTAAATAATGTTTTAACAAGTGAATTTTAAAATGCAGCACATTTATTTTGTATATGTGATTCCAGTTGACTGCTACAGCAGCTAGTAAAGTAGGTTTAATTATGGCATACAAATAAAGTTTAAAGTAAATCAGATTTTTCAAGACTGATAAATATATGATGATGAAATAAATACAACCATTTGAACGGCAAACAGTTTCATCTTGAATGAATAAAAAACAAATATAACACAAAGTGCTGCGTGTGTGTGTGTGTGTGTGTGTGTGAGAAATGTAACCTGATTTTACTTCCAATATCAAATTACGAGCCGTGTTAAAATGAACACCTTCACAGTGTTACAACAGAGCACATTTCTAGCTCCACAACCCGCAGAAGGACTTGTACTGGGACAGAAATCAGGAGAACACGTGGAAACGAAACTAAAATTACCTCCCTGAGCGACACTGCTATTTATAATAACACATACAGGAGCTACTGTCACCATCATGGACAGTCGAGTGCTCAACTGTGAGGCGGATGAAACGCTGCCTGTCTGTGCTGAGTGGCTCCTCAACACCATTAACCCTCCCCTCCTGTAAGTATGGCAGAGCTGCAGCTACTGACTCTTTTGGCTTCACGCTGGCACACACACACACACACACACACACACACACACACACACACACACACACACATCTGAACCCTATTAACCTTCCTCTGTAAGGATACCTTTGTTTGACAGGAAATAAGAAAAGTTTGTAAAAGCAAGTAAATTATTCTCTTTCTCATTTCCTGGGCAGCTGCTGTATTTACAGGAAATGAGAGAAACAAAGAAGCTAAGCTGTGTCATCTTACTTTTTTGGGAATGTCTTGGGTTGTCTGTATGTGCTTTTCTCTTTTATTTAAATCTCCATTCTCTATAGGCTACAATTAAGATTCACAACATTGTAAATTATCTCATTAAAAGGCTCCATGTTTGTCCTGGCAAAGAGGACATTCATAATGCAAACCATACACACACACAGCTCTAAGAAAAACAGGCCATAAACCTAAAAACTCTGCTCTGTAATTTTCATTCTACATTTCGAAAGTGGAGTTGTGACATATAAGCATGACCCCAGCTGGCACTGTCAGAAACTACACACATTCATTTCCTTTTTTCTTAACACTAAAAGTGAAACTGTTTTTGGAGTTCTGGCGAGACCATCAGAGAGAACGTATACAGCATTTTATTCTTAGCCGTGCATTGATTCTGGAGCCAAGAGCGTGTTTGCAGTTTTACTGTTCAGCATCCACAGATGATTATAGTCTACAAAGTTCTACAGTTCGACAAACAGCCGGATGCAGACTACTAATAACCTCCATGCTCCTTTCCATGGCAGTAATCAATGTGTCAGAGAAGATTTTACTTTGACAGTTTAATGTCTCCTTTGGTTAATGTTCTGTTGGAGTTTACATCAGTTTTATCTTTTCAAACAGTTTCACACTTTTTATATTCAGGTGATTTACAACTTTCTGTACAGTTTATATAAGATATTCATTTAGCCAGCCATAGAAAATATATGTTTTATATATTTATGAAGAGAATTGAAATAAAGTTTCATTTATAGCAGAATTAATAAGAGTAGTTAGAGTAGAAGTGTGTTTAAAGGATTAGAGTTATAATTCTGTAGGGGTTAAACACTTTAAGCTCAATGCTATATATGACAAGTGTTATACAAATAGGGTCATTCCTATTACTACTACCATCACTATTATTATTATCATTAGCAGCAGCAGCAGCAGCAGTAGCAGTAGTAGCAGTAGTGGTAGTAGACTCTGTTTAGCTGTTTCCTGTTCATTGTTAACTCCACAGCTCTGACATAGCATCCTCATCACATATGCTATGTTAATATTGGCAGTAGGGATTCGATTAGTATTATTATTAGTATTAGGTAAGGACGCGGCAGTATTCGGTACAGGATTTGTGTCATTATGTGCTGTGGGGGTCGATTGTGTGTTTGGGCTGTCAGTTGAGTTTAAGTTCACTGCTCCTGTGATATTTGTTGTAAATGTCAGAGTGATTTTTCATGCAAACTGAGATGAACTTTGGGAAACAAACCCGATGTTGGTGTACTGAACGTTTCAGAGTGAATTAACTCATTTTAAAGGTGAACACTGAGAAACAACAGGAGCCATTATTTCAGTGTATCTGATTACACATTGTTGTACACTGTAAACAATCCAGTGTGAAAATAAACTCTTGTGTATCATCGATCCACAAATATTACTAGTATTCAACAGAAGTGCAGGCTGGTGGAAATGGGTTGCATTTGGGTTAATTACTGTGATCACAAGTTGCCGAAATGTGAAAAAAATATAGTTTATAATTTCCGTGTCAGGATGCCCAGGGTCTATAATGACATTAAGGTTCAGATGAAAGTATTTTCATTAATGTGGCTGCAGCTGAGTTCTGAGCTAAAAATATCTGAAACTTTGGAGGTTAAATGAAATGTAGTCATGGTGGCTTATTCTATCAGGAATACCAGCTGGAGAGCTGTAATCACAAACTGTGCTACTGTATCTACTGCATGCCTGCTTGTGTGTGAGTGTGCGTGTGTAAATACTGACTACACACATTTACAGGCATTGCAAAAGTTCCTCCGACCTGCATTAGCACAGTGGAACTGTCATATAAATCCTGTTGAGAGTGTGAAGAGTGTGAAGCGACACTGCCATATCAGTCTAAAAACCTTGCTAAAGGAAATTTCTACACTTTTGTCACATTTCCAACATGTCAGCTTTTCAGGAACTAAAGAAATATGACATCCGGAGACATTTAAGAGTTTATCTAATAAGTGTGAAAAGCGTAAAAGTTGTGGGAAAAACTGAACTTTAGTAACCCACCAGGGGACCATTCAACCTTTTAAAGTTAGTTTAGACATTTAGTTTTAGACAAATGCCAAAGTTGGGCGTGATGACTATCAAATTACTGATGTCCTCTGGTCCATAATCACATAAAATATAAATGTCACACAGACTCTTCAGGTAGGCAGTGCAGGTACTGGTCCTCTAGGATTATAAAATCCACTATGTATGCAGTGGCACACACACACACACACACACACACACACACACACACACACACACAAGACACACACAGCTAGTAGAACAATAGGCGAAAAGGTAAGCAGGATAAGCTCTGCTGACAGCAAGCAGACAGAAGTGACTGCAGATCAGTCAGCGAGTCCCTCAGCACTGACACACTGACACTGACACTAACACAACACGACTGTGAGCAGGTTCAGGCTCAGGGCACGACTCAACTACAGTCAGCCTGTCAGGAGTCCAACAACCGTCTCACTGCTCGGCCAGGTTTTAGATAAGAGGAAGAATGAGTGCGAGGAAGGGAGGAGGAGGAAGGAGGAAGGGACAACTGAGCCACTATATGAACCGGTATATTGATGAACCACTGGACCAATCAACCAAAAGCAAGCTAACCAATAGAAACATGAGTGAGGAAGACAATTAGTAGTTTAGATCCATCAATAAAACAAAAGGTTAGTAAGTCAACCAAAAAACACATCACGTCTTTTAGTTGCTCACTCAGTGTTTGTAACTCATCTAACCAGTCGTCAAGTTAGTCAGTTAATTAATCAGTCAGCCAATCAATTATTAAGTCAGCCAGATATTTAGAGAATCAATCAGTAACTAAAGACTGTACTTAAGTAGTGATGTTTAACTGGATATATTTTAAAGGCATACTCTACAGGACCCCACCCGGCTCAACGAGCAGCAACGGTAGAACAAGGTAGACAGTGAATGGGAGAGAGAGAAAACATTATTTTATGATTGTTTCACAGTGGTTACGTTCTAAAGCAGCTCCACACCTCTGCACAATCCTGCAGAAGCTGCACTGTCTGCTGTGTGTAGCTCAGCCTCTGGTCAGACTGCAGCTCTTTATACATTTATAGTCTCACATAGACCTATCCCCACCCCGCTATAGTCCTGACCTCTGACACCGCCCAAAGGTTGAAGTCCAGAAACATCCCACACAGAAAAATGAGAACATAAAGGCAGAGGGCTGCAGGGGCTCTGCAGACACAGACACTGCCACGCACTCCTAATGAGTCATAAGTGATGACTGAGAGGGATTATTTATGTTCTTATGAGCCTATACGCCTATACCTAATACACAGCTGTGTCATACTAATGGCGGCTTGAACAAAACAAAAGCTTGTATCAAAACTCTCTGCATTATTCACGTCCCAGAACATCCTGGTAAACATTCTGAGGCTGAAGTATAAATCCTTCACTCTCAGATGATCAGTCAGAATTTCAGGAATCAGTCAGAGAAAACAGGACAGGAGTCATTCGGACCTTATGGAAGCTGCCGTAGAAGAGTTTTTTGATTTCGGGCCCTTCGAAGGTGACCGTCTGGAACTCTCCTTTGTAATCGTTGTTGAAGAACGTCAGAGTTTTTCCTCCATCTGCAGGAAGACACACAAACTACATGTCAACAAAAAGAAAAGTGTTTCAAACACTTTTATCCTTTGAACCTCACACAATCCTGCTGTCTATTTATTTGAATGTCTTGCTTGATAGGTATTGATTTCATGATGGTAATCAGTAACGGCCAGCTTTTACCTGAATTGCTCCTTCATGACAACACTAAGCCTCCCTGGTATTTTGTACATTCAGTTCATGATTCTGATGGATTCGTAATTATAGAAATAAAGCGAAAACACCAAAGAAACTGGAATGTGTTCGTATTGATTTTTGGAAAAACAGATGCTCCCACAGCTGAGATCTCTGACTCACTGTCCAGGATGACTCCCACCAGCGGCTCGTTGTTCTTATTGAGAATCTCCCAGAGGGCGAAGGGCTCCTCTGGAGTGTTGGGCAGCAGTCTGAACAGCATGGTGATGGTGTAGTCAGAGGGCAGCCCTTCAGGATGGATGTACCTGTGAGTCAGAACAGAAAAACTTGGTTATGATCTCTATTCATGCCCAACAGTGTGGATTCTGGATAAAGAGACTAATCAGCTGGAGATATTGGAGTTTGTTCTCATTTATAGAAGTCATTTGGTGGCCTTTCATCTTACTTTCAAAACATGATGTCTATTATACCCATAATGCAGTTAGCAACAACACATTACACAATACAGTTCCAAATGTGAATATGTCTGTGTACCTGGTTGGCTGTGCTAGGAAAGCGTCGCTGTGCAGGTGGAAACAGGGGAAGGTATTGAAGGTGCCAGGTACCATGGAAACACCAGAGACACTGCTGTACCGATTCTCCACCAGCCCAAACAGCTCCATCATACGAAAGCCTGATGACAGATGGAAGGAATTTTAACTTGTTAACATAAGATTAGTTAGGTTGTGCACAGTTAAGTGCCAAGTTGTTGACAGCAAAAAGCAATTTGAGGAGCAAGACTCAAATGGGTTCTTGTAAGGGGCTGTTGTTGGTGAATTCACCTCTATCAAGGTTCTACTCGTTCTAGTAGCAGCAACATTACACAATGACAATGAGCAATTTAAATGAGAGTAAAATAGATGTACTGTTTGTATAAGGCTTGTGGAAATACAGCTAAGATACTTCTGAATGTCTTCCACATCCTCAGGGTATTTGGGGTATTTGTACTCACTGTACTGCTCAGATATTCTGTGTGAGCACATGGAAAAGCCCACAATGTTCACCATAGATTTATATAGAGCAGTTTCTCTTTGACTTTACTCTATGATGCTCCCTTGTTTTCTATACATCAATACTGAAAGCCTGACACATTCGTTGCAATAAGGAAAATGTTCGATCTTTCACCTGGCGTTGTGCTTCCGCTCATCGGTACAGATGGACAAGCTGGGAAAGAAAAAATAAGACACATTCAGAGACTTTCAATACGGTCATTTAGAAACGTCACTTCAGACAAAAGTGGACTGAAAATGTTCCCACAAACAAAGACAAAAGGAGATCTCTACCTGTATGACATGTAGACTCTGAAACTGACTACCTCAGACTGTTTGGTTACTCACTGGCAGTGGCGGCCTCACACACAAAGGTCACCAGCTTCTCTTCGATCTTCTTAAAAGCATCCAGGTCGTCCACGAAGAAGACGTGTCTGTCGCTGGGTTTACTGGCGATGCTCACCAGCTCCCCGTAGTCAGCATCAGCGAAGCCGATAGCAAACACAATGTAGCCTTTACAGGAAAACAGAGGGGGAAAAACATTTGTCTTCAACACGGGAACAACCAGAGTCAAAACTACTCTAAAAGCCAAAAATGATGTTTTTCTTCTTGAAGTTCAGTATCATATAACAGCACGTTTACATCAGATTTAATGAATACATGTTAAGGGTGGGGGTGCACTGTATGTGATTTTTGTTATTTTACTCATACATGATAATGTTGACTGAGTGTTTATGATGAAAGCTGACCAACTTGTTTCTTTCTGTTGATGCCTCATGTCATCATTTATAATAGAATGACTGGCGAGCCAAACAAGCCTGTTCTTCCCCAATCCCGACATTCAAACTTTTTAAAGCGTCATGTAAAACCATAAAACCATAAAAAACACAGCTGACCTTCCATCTGCATCTCCTTGGAAACCTTGTTGACGTCATCCTGAGATCGGCCGTCAGTGAGGACAACGAGGACATTGGGGATTCCCCGCCTGACTCCTCCCTCTGTTGTGAAGATGTTTTCCTTCACGTGCTGGATGGCTCGACCTGATTGGACAGACGGACTCATCAATCAATGGCAGCACAATTCAGACAAATATCAAATAATTTTGCTAAATGTGATCAAACAGTCATATTGAAACTGTTTGTATTGATGGGTGGTATGGAAACATATATTTTAATATGTCGAATCACTTATCTGTTAAGTACATTAAACCTATAGTTGATCTGATGTCTCTCACTGTGGACGATCTCACTGTCATTTCATTTGCATTCTTTAGTTCTTCACAAATTACTTTAAGAGATATTTGACACTGCAATTGTGCTTCCTCCTGTGCTTTAAACACAAGAATTGTGCATCATCATTCAAAATATAGCAAATAAAGACTCAATAATGTGATGTAATAAGTGATTAATATGATATTATAGTCCCCATACGTCACACAACTATTTTCTGTACATGGAGAGAGAAATGGCCTCAAACCAAATGCTGCCTCACATTAGACATTTCCTGTTTTATTTTTGCCAGAAGATTAAGCCTCCCCACACACTGATGCTTGCTCTGAGGCTTTAGAATTTCAATGGCACCAAATACATTTTTGAATTTGGTGCCAGTTAAACAGCGTCCTCCATTTGACACCAACCATTTGCAAACCTGAGGTTAGTTTAGTAAGACCTTATTGACATTTCAGGTTTCATACAAATCAATTATTAGATGCCACAGCAGGATAATAACTCAGAAACTGTAACATTTAGTTTAATGACAGGCCGTGATAATTGGTGAACAACATGCTGATGTAAAGGAGCATCAGAGAGGGCCGCATCAGAGCGGCACAGCAGGGAAAACCACAGGAGCCAATGTTGGAATCTTTTTCAAAGAATAACACGATGAATGAAAAGAATCTCCTGTTTTTTGTCCTTTTTAAGATGTCAGGAGCAACGAACAGCCATTCTGCACCAGTTTCACATCTAAGGCCACTGTGTGTCTTTAAATTACATCTGGAATTTGACAACCGATAAAGTGCATGTTGGTAAGCTTTGGTTGGCAAGTAAAATCTGCTGTTCCTTAATGTTGCAGACTGGATAACAGGAATCAGCAAAAAGTTTAGAGAGATGCCCGTTTAGCATCTTTTAAACGTTCTGTCATGTTCGTGTTTTATCCTGCTGTTTAACATTACTAAACTATGTGACCATGTACGAGGTGAGATGTATTTTACTGCTAAAACAGTGTCAGCCCGATATAATCATAGAAAACAGTTTCACCAAATCAATGTCTTTATTTTTCTATCTCTATCGTTATTGACCGCCTGACGGTAAATAAATACTCTATCTGTCTTTGAGTGCAGGTTTGTGGTGATGTGCGTTCATGTCGTCACACTTGTGAACCATCCAGACATTTCCTGAGGTAAAGCTTATTGTTTCCTGATCTTTTGTTATCATGTTTAACTGTGATGGGCACAGCTGTTTCAGTGCTATGAGACCAGTGATGTAACTGGCTGACATAGTATTTAATACCAGACCACCTTGCAATTGGCTTTAATTATAGAGATTTCAACTGCTGGTGCAATGCATGCTTTTGCAGCCTCATAACGGGACCTGGTTATGTAGCTTGAGTATCGTGCTACTGCAGCCATGGTTTTGGGTAAGACAGTGGCTAGAATTACACTGTAAAGATGGCTGTAGTATAAAATGGAAAATGAATTAAGAATAATTTTGATAATCAAGTAATTAAGTAGTTTGTCAGTCAAAACAAGACCTTGAATCTTCCACTTAGACACTGGGGACTTGTGATTGGCATTAAATCCTATGTTTATATTCATTCAATATCATACTATATATATTTGTTTCTCCACTTTAAAGCAGCAGACTGTATTTTGCTGACAGGGTTTACTCCATAGTCGATGTTTGATGCAGGACGGACCACAGAGCTGCTGCATGGCTGTTACATTTCAATAAAGGAACCGAGTGGCACCAGGTATTTCAAATAGATTCAGTAATCAAATATTCTCCAGTCCTGTGGGAGCGCTGGGAAACGGTCTCTTAATTGCAGTGTGTAGAACGAGGTGACTGAGTGCTCTTAAAGTCCCCAAACTGCTGCTTCCTGATAGAAAAGGAGGATTAGTGTTTTACAGTTTGACATTAGCAGTGGGAGAATTCCTCCCCAGCAGTGACGCTGTTGCAAATCTGTTCTCTGCAGTCTCGTCCCTGCAGCAGAAACTGGCTGCGCTGCTTTGTAAACACTGATTAATGACTACACCTCTCACTGCACCCCCACATCCTCTCATTACACACACTCACGGAATATAGGCTTCTATGCACTTATACACAAAAAAGATTGTAGGTATTAATGCAAACATGCACATAATGTTATGTAAACGTGTTTTACGTGAATGTCTGCAGAAGACACGTGTTCACAGGAGAAAGAAAGTGCAGATGTTTTACTGCTGTATTGACACAAAGCACAAACACACACTTGCACACTGATTTAATTTTCAGATTGTGGTTACTTCCTGCTCAATAAGTATTGATAATGTCATTAGGAAGCGTGTGAGTGTGTGAGAGTGTGAGTGTGTGAGCGTGTGAGTGGGCACATGTGAGATGGATTTATCTCACAGGTGTCTCTCTTGGATTTAGAGATTACTTCTTCTGGGCACCTGGACTTTTTTCAGCTGCAGTCATAGAACTTGTTTCTGTGTTGCAGTGGTTTCAATCTCTCCCACATGTTTCCTGAAACTCCACCAGACTGCAAAAACAAATTCAGCCACCATTCTTCCATCGGAACGATTCACAGTTCTCCTCATAATGCTGTGTTTTTGTCTTCCTCAGCAGTCTGTCTGCTGTGTCCTCACCTGTCTTGGTGTTTCCTCCCTTGTAGGAGATCTTGTTGATGGCGTCCAGCAGTCGCTGCTTGTCGCTGTACGAGTTCAGTTTGAACTCAGTCCGGGCGTCGTCACTGAACTGGGCGATGGCCACCTGTCAGCCAACACAGGAACATATACATAAGAACTTAACACAAGAATCTGAACACAGTTTCAGCCTCTTGGGAGACACCAGGGGAATACTGATTATAGCAAGTAACTGACAAAAATTCCACGACAGTAAGCATACATAGTTTCTGCCCTTGCACTAGTCTGTCCCATAGAAAATGGCCGTTACCGCTGTGCTGTTTAGCAAGAACGTAGGGTTGGTCTTAGAGGGGAAAGGGACACAGTCAAGTTAAATAAAAATTCTTAGAGTGAGCAATTTCAATCTAAAAAAACATCTGGCCGACTGGCATCTTGTTTTTTGTTTGTTATTTATTGTTGAAGCTCTACTTTCCTGGCACCGTTGCCTTAAGCAGAAAACAAAAGATGGGTGTATTTGTGCATTTATTTGTGTTTACTTAAATAAAATCATATAAATCCATTGAATTCATGCAATAAATAAATAAATGAGGTTAGTGTGCATTTGGACAGGTCTTTGTGGGGGTGCCTCCACCATCTACATAAGGAAAATATTGTTTAACTCAGGTGCGGGGAGTCAGTACTGACACCAGCATTGCAGTAATCAGTGTATTGCCATTGATACTCTCCTTCCTTTGCTTCCTCCATCCCTCCTGCCACAGCAGTGCACGGCAAGTCAGCGAAATACAGAACAGGGGTAAGCATGACAAAGCTACAGTGCTGTGCCTCAGAAAAACACAATTTATCTGGCAAAGTGCAGCTTTTGCAATACTCCCAAACGACAACAGAGTTCTAAGTCTCCATCTCTGGTTGTTTAGTTTTTGTTGTGTTTCTGCTCTGAGCCGGCCTGTCAATAACCTGTCAATCAAACCGTGTGGATGGACAGCCACCAGACACCAAGTCTTTAGAATAACAGATCTCAACCAAAGCTGAAGAGTAATGAGACACCCCCCCACCCGTCGTACCTGTGTGCCATCAGGGCCGATCCGGTCCAGAGCTCCAGTGGTGCTGTACAAGAAACGAATGATCTTCAGGAAATTTTCATCACCGATACTCCAGGAACCGTCAACCAGGAAGACCAGGTCCGCTTTGGCTGCCTTACAGACTGGACAAAGAAAGAGACAAAGAAGATGAACAGCGTTCAACTGAAGACATTCTCAGACCTTTTTAAGACCATTGTGTACGTAATGTAAGATCTATTTTAAATCCATACTGGCAAAAAAAATACGGAGGATATGATGGAAAATTGGTATTCGTTCCATGTTGGTTTTGTTTTGTAGTTGTTACAGCATGATCAATACAAAATATTCCCAAAAACACAAAGCGAGACTAAAAATTAACTTCATTCATTTATATTTAAGACCTGTCAAAATCAAATTTTTAGGCAGTAAATTCAGATTATTGGATTTTAGAACTCATAGGACGAGGGGAGGAACAACACAATCTGAGGAGAGGGATGACTGAAACAAACTGATCACACAACTGTATTTTTACATTTTCTATTTCCATCTCCCTCAAAGGAAGTTTGCACTTTTGTTTTTGTTTTCGACAAGGACGAGAAGATAAAAGGAGGACAAAAATAATGGAGGACAGACGGAAACATAATGTAGGTGTGAGATGAAGGAGGAAGCAGATGAATGAAACGAGAAGGACAATGAAGACAGCGGAGGAGACAGTGGCTTTATCTGCTTTAAATACACAGATCTCTTGCCTTCATATCATCTTGTCCCTCTGGTTGTTGTAAAAATCTCATTAATGGAAATATTGTTGGTATTAATTAACTCATGATGCTGATATGAGTCCTATTTGAAATGTTTCACTAATATTCTCCACTGAAGGTTTTCGGAGGCTCACATTGTTTGTTGTGTATGTTCATACGACCACAGTGGAATATATTCTCACTTATGTTTAAGAGGGATTAAACGGTGGAGATGGACTGAAGGATAAACACTTTAATCCGTCACCATTTTGATTTCATTTGAAAGTTTCTTTGACTGTTACACGTGCTACAGTACACATTGACTGGATTGTTCAGAATTGAAGAGACAGTCATTTAAACTGCAGAGAAATACTTTCATAAAGCAAATAGGTAATATTGTTCTTGTTTTCTATGTGCTCACTGGACGGTGATCTAAAGTGGCATATACACTTTATTTATCTGCTTTATTTGCTTCTCATCTTTGTTTGACTAGTTTCAGAACTTTCATCTCTGTTTTATCACTGCGTCAATAAACAAACCTTGACTTTATTTTGATGGAAGGCGACTCAGGACTAAGAGAAAATCAGCTTTTGAGTGACCGATTGGATCTGAAGAGGTCTCGACATGCAAACAATTGAAAATGTGTTAAACTCATTAAATTCAAAACACAAAGTTGCCTCTGTGGCTGTTTACCAATAATTCCAATCAACTTCCTTCTCGACTCTAATAAAGTCTCGTTTAAGGGTCAGCTGGGGCCGGATTGATCTGCACACAACTTTCATTCTGTCATCTGCTTTTTTGTTTCCTTAATAACCCACAAACATAAAAAAACAAACTGACTTTCTTTTACACAACAGTCCACCCTGATGCTCACATTAATCAAGTTTTCTGAGGGGAGACGTGCTAATATTGATTTATGTTAGTTGTAAGTTAGTTAACTTCAGCCAGTGTAACTCTGAAATCATGGTGAAACCTCATAACTCCACATTTGCTGGTGAATTTGAAAAAGACGAGGTGAGACAGCATGTTATGAAAAGAAAAAGTGGATATAAAGAAAAGAAGGAGAGGTTGTGAATTAATACTAATGTTTTTATTACATAATTACATGTTTTATACTACAAATAAATCCACTTCATGATTGTGTCTATCTTCAGAGAAATGCTAGCAAGGTTTTGAGACCAGAAAACATTTTCACTCAAAAGTACTTAAATAAATGCATCACCATGCTGACTAGATTCACTGGACTTTGATTTGAGCTGCTCACAGCTGGAAAAAGACAAATATCTCCCCTCCAGCAACAGAAAATAAGAATAAGTGACACTTTGAAATACTGAAATGATCAGTATTGTTCTTTGTTCTTTGAGGAATGCCTCCCTTCAATGAAACCAGTTTGATGTGTGTGTGTCAGAGAGGAAATTACAGATTCTAAGTGAATTGCTTATGATTGTTATTTCAGTGTTAATTAAAGATATGGGGTGGTAATTAGAACATAAGTGTGGTCTTTATCTGGGTTAGGGATTAGTGTTTCATGCTGGATCTGGTCTGGGTGCTCTGTTATGTGGCTTGAGATGAAGTGCTTTGGTCAGTTAGACATGGACTTTTAAGTGTATTAATTTGAAAAGGACAATCTGAGGGGAACATCAGTAACACGTAGGTTTCTGTTCTTTAGCTGATGATGTTTTATTTTAAACTAAATAAAACTATGCAGTTGATTCTGTGGTGACAGATATGTGAAGAATGTGAATTACATGTTTGAGGAGATGAGAACTGCTGTAACAGATCCAAAACTAACCAAGTTCACTTTTATGACATTTATTTTAAATTACCCTTCTGTTGAAGATTTATCTCTGTAATTATATGTCATCTGTGTGTGTGTTTGTGTGTGTGTGTGTGTGTGTGTGTGTGTGTGTGTGTGTGTGTGTGTGTGTGTGTGTGTGTGTGATAATTGGAAGTGAAAATTGTTGGTCCTTTCTTCACCATATTTAGACATCTTTGAGCCTGTTTCAGATACATCAGTGTGTGGGAGGACAGCACTTAAAGCTTACTTACTCTGCTTGTAGTGTCAGTGTAGACTGACACTACACTGTCGTCCTCACACATGCACACACCTCAAATGCTTAGCTTCAACAAGAAACATGTCACATTTTGATTTATATAACAGGAAATGTGGGCAGACATCGAACTAAACTTAGTTGCTGTGTCAGTAAGAAAATAAAGTCACTGTGGTTTCAATCAGCAGAAAAAAGTAAATTAAAGAAATTAAGAGGAAAACTAATTTGTCTGGCAAATGAATATAGTATTTTATGATTCTGCAGCTTTTATGGCTCGACTTTTATGTGGGCTTGCTGAACAAGCTACAGCACTGTGTTAATGAAGTCATCATTTATAGTATTGAAATATTCTCCTTCACATCTTTAGTCTTCAGTCACATTTGCACTGATAGTATTATTGTGGTTGTACTCCAGTGAAATACAAATAGGTATAGGTTCTGAAAGCCAATTTTATTCAGGATCTGGTTGCAAGTTTGTAAAACACTCGGATTTGTTCTGCTCCGCAGCCACAATGTAGTGTAGAAGAAGTATAAAGCAATATAAAATAATTAGAAGTAGAGTAAATGTACTTTGGTAATGTCTACCAATGGTGTGTATTCCTGAAACGTGCCAAAAACAGAAGAGATTTGATGCTGCAAATATCAGCCAGCGTGACGCAAATATGATGAAACTGACAGACTGAACGCCTCAGAAAATCCAAACATCAGTGACAGGAAATTGACGGAAAACAATCAATAATCATAACGATATAAAAAACCAGCTCTCACCTTCCTTGGCAGCGGGGATTGTGGGCAGCGGCGTGGTGGTGGGAGGCTTGGTCGGTGCCGGGGTTGGGACGGGTACTGTGTGGAGAGAATAAACAAGACACACAGACACGAAGACATGTGAACCTGTAATCACCACCACATTCATCGTAAAACTATCACAGCGTGCTATATGACCCCAGAATTAAAATCCCCCCCTGGAAACGAGTGAAGAGAGAACCAAGCCTCAGACAGCCCACACAGCCACACATATAACATACAGAATGTGTAAAATAACTACATGCAGCTCTGTGATTTCAGCTCCTGTATAATTTGGTGGACTGATCACAGCGTCTCCTTACTTTTTTGTGTGTGTGTGTGATGAACTAGCTGCCCCCTCCCAAACACACACAATATACACACACGCACTGTGTATTCATTTGGTGCTGTTTAGGCAGTAAATCAGCTACCTGAGGCTGTGAATTACTTGTGATGGCAGGTAGGGAGCGTTCAGTAGCGGCTGCCTGCAGCGATGGGGATAGTCATTTGGAGAAAAGGCTCTGGCTTTCATTTGCATCAAAACAAAGCAATAAATCACTGTGGAGGCTCTCTGCAGAGCTACGGTACGGAGGGGGGCCGCTTCAAGCAAACAAATACCTGCTCTGGGGAAGGAACGCTCTTTCTGTATTCCTGCCTTTCTTTTATCTCTGTGGTTGTTTCTTTTTGTCTTACTTTCACTTCTTCAGCCTGACACCTCTCCAGCCTCTCCTCCCTCCGTCTGTCTTTCATTTCATTTACCTCCATCTTTTCTCTTCCCCTACCCTTTTTTTTCTGTCCTCACTCCATTAATTTCGGTATATGACGGAAATGAACTTGCAGAGAGTCCAAATGTGTTCCTGAAAGGTAATCCATCTCAGGAAACATTATGCCTGCTATGATTTTTGTCAAACTCTGCTTATAATTGCTTGGAAGTGCAGTGCAGACTTTACACATTAATGAACACCTTCAAATACAACACAATGCTCAAACATAACAACTCTAACTAATTCAACTATAATGTTGGAGTTATGATGGATACTGGAAGCAAGGCTCAGTATTTCTGATGTGCTCTGAAACAAAAAGCTGCCTGCCACAGTGAGAAAGTGTCCTCAGTAATGTAAAGTTAGACTACTAGCGCTAGCCTCTTGTAGTTACTTCCTTTTTTAATTACTTATTAGCCGTAATAGTCAGAAACATTCTGACATTCTGTCTGTTTATTTTATCTATTAATCAGTTTTCAGTTGATTTTCCATAGAATGTATTATTACAAGATATTTATTGATCATTTTCAGTCAAAATCAGCCAATGCATATCTAATGAATTCAGATTCAACAGTCAGCAATCATATGAACTGGTCTGAGACTTCCAACATGGCGCCAGAAGGTGAGTGAGTCTGAAATTCTTTTACTGAAAATAGTCTAATACCGTATAACAATATAATGTATGAACAATTATTTGGTGTGATAAAAACCCTCCAATGAAACCGCCTGTTACGTGTTGCAGAGCTACTTTCTGTATAAGAGAACATAAACAGACATTATAAGTGACATTTCAGGCATGTTGACATTCACTCTCGAATCAGGTTTAGATAAGTGGGTTAAAGTCCTCATCTTTGCAGTGAAGCTGGTGAGTGAAATATTTTCACAGCTCACAGCTAAAAAAAGGGTGAATTTTCCTTTATAGACTGGAAAGATTTCACTGCACATAGTGTTCATTGAAAATGAAACAAACAAACAAAAAAAAACACAGCCCACCCACTCCAACACCCTCCCTCTCCTCCCTCTCCTCCCTCGTCTCCAGACAGTAGGTCTTGATTAGTGTTTGGGGCTGCCGGTGCAGAACAAGCGGCTCATTCTGAAAGGAAGGATGAGGATTCAGCTCTCATCGCTCCCACAAGGATAAAAGATGTTTTATGTTGAAGATGACGTGATCATCCTCGCAGCCTGTAGTGGGCTTCTTTGATACACAATGACAGCTGACAGCAGTTTCTGTTTGAGTGTGTGTTTGTCAAGTGTGTGTCTCTGCTATATTGTTATTATGACACATGTATGGGTGCATTTAAATGGGATTTTAACATATCGTATGGAGGAGGTAAAGTACTTGATGTGTCAGTGGTGCCTGTATAAGTGTGTTTGTGTATTACAGCCTCGCATGAGAGACAACCATGGTGTGTGTGTGTTTGCAGAAAAAATTTATCTCTGCAATGTTTTCAGGATCAGATAATCCTAAAAATGTCAGAGCCGTCCAACAATTTCCAGGTCTCTCATTGTGTGAGACATTCTGAGTAAGCTCCACAATGGATCACTGACAGTTCTCAGACACCTAACTGGACAATGGCACTGCTCAACGGCTCTGGTTGTTCGTCTGCGTGTTGAATCAGAAAGAACACAGCAGGTGAAAGAAAGAAACATGCTTCACTTTACGTCAACCTTCTTTGTAAATAACTGTTGTAAATGTTAAGTGCTGTGCTTTTGCTGATTGGCCTGGCACAGTTATGTTAAAGCTGAATCACTTCTCAAGTGCATGAGTGCTTTCACACCTCATCTTGTTTGGTTCAATTAAAATCAAGTCAGGTCCTCTCAGTTAGTGCTGTTCATTTGTGCTGGACATTTTGAGCTGCCAATAAAACCCTGACGTGGACCGAACCCAGACTGTTTGAGAAGGCGGGGTCCGACCACAGGATTACTAATATGTGATTTTAGCATTATTTCAAAAGCTAATCTACCAATAGATCCAATCTGCTGAGTGTAAAATCTGTTCAGGAAGCAATCTTATAATCAATCTGTACTGTATAAGCGATGCAGCCATTTGGTAACCACGGCAACGTGTGCGTGTCCCTGATCAATCAGACGCAGTTAAAACTGTGTGAACTTTGGCAGTTCAGTTAGTCCATTAAAGGTGCGTGAAATAACGATCTCACAAAAATACCTGTCGCAATATCGCTGTACAAAGAGCTTGTTTTTCATCCTCTCCTCTACTTGTTTGTCATTACTCATAACATGCGGCCGACTTGCAGGCTCTTTATGACATCCAAGAACATAAATACACATATTAGAAGCGTATAAGTGCTGCGTGATCTGTTGTCAGTCGTCGATTTTCTCAAAGCACAGTAACAGAGTAACACTTGTTTGAAGGTGTGAGTGTGAGTGTATGTACTTACATGTCTTCTCAGTAACAGTGATGGCCGGCCCTTCAGTCCCATCCAGCAGCTGAGCGTACACACTTATCTTATACTGCGTGTTGGGCTTCAGGTTGTTGAAACAGTGTCTGTTGGCTCCTCCGCCCAGGTTCGTCTCCTGTTTCTGACCATCTGCAGTAAAAATACAAACACCACCTCGTTAGCATTCTGAAAAGGCGGCTATTTGCAATTTAAATAGTTAAAATGAGCATTTATTGCGGACCTCTTCTCTGCATTATTTGCCAAATCAGAATCAGGTTTATTGCCAAGCAGGTTTTCACAAACAAAATGCAGGCTGTTTGTGCAGGAATTTTGAATATTGTCCAAGTAATGTGAAAAAGATCATGTGTCATTCAGCACAACAAACTCAAATCACTGAGCTAAGAGATCAAACAATTGCAAGTTGACCTCCCTGTTAGAGAAATGGATTGGTGAAGGAGATTGTTGTTGTTGTTGTGGATGATAATGATGATTAGCATTAAATATAGAACCGGATCTCCTTAACTCTTGTTTGTCAGATGACAAGTGAGATGTTTCAAACATCCCTGAGGACTGTGTTTTGTCAGCAGCTCAGTTTGTGTTTCTGTAAAGTAAAACTGAATAAAATTAAACTGTTCACATTCAGGAACATGTGACGAACCGAATCCAATTACTGAAATAATCAACATGTGTTTGTTGCGTTTTGTTCACTTGATGCCAGTGGTCAGGGTCTACTGGAAACATGTCAAAAAAACCTTATTATCCACAAAACAAAATGCATTCACCTCTACAACTTCATCACAGACAGCAGGTGGAACATTTTAATGAGTGGAAGAGCTACAGTACTGAGCTAGTCAATTCTTATAGCTGAAGCTGACAATAAATCTGCCCTTATACCTTCATCTGGGTTTATACTCGATTCTGATCGGTTCTGGTTAATTCCTGATATAGCACACCTACTATATAGTTCCAGTTTTATAACTATACTGTTTGTCAACTGAACACAATGTTGCTGACTTTGAATCTTACTGGCATAACGTTAGCTTTCTGGCTTGTAGCTGAGCCAAACGGCTCTATGAGAGGAGCGAACTAGAAATAGCTCAGACAGAAACAGTTTGAAACAGTGACAAAGTTTAGATTTTGATTGCAAAACACATGAAAATATAAATGTATAATCTATTTTATTTTTTATATGCGCAATAATACCCTTCGAGGGGTCCATAATCAGAAATGAATGGACTTCCCGTGGTCCAATAATTATTATTGGACATATCCCTTACATATAAAACAACACCCAAATAAGACTATAAATTGTAATACTGCACAGGTATGTGTGGGGTTATTCTACAACAACTACAAATCTAAATGCATGTCCTTGCAGGGGAAAGCTAAAGTTTAACTGCAGGAGGAGAATATTCTTTCAACTCAGCCAGTTCTGAATGTGTGAATGTGAATGAGTCCTGTGCAGGCATTCATATATGTATTCCTTTAACTCAAACTGTTACAATGCAAAATCCACACTAATATATTATAATATCTTGACAGAAAGGCTAAAAAAAACCAAATTCAGTCATTATTGAAAACGTTTAGATACCCAGTGAAAGGTTGGCAATATGAAAATACAGATTTAATCACTTTAGTTTAACAGTGAGAGAAAAAGATTATCTTTATTATGACAACCTGAATATGTTCCTGTACAGGGAAAGGTGAAGGGCTGCTCTCTGTACTCCAGTTTAATTCAACAATAATGCCTCGTGCTACAGGAGAATTTGTACATTATCAGCTCTTCATTCTCTTTTTTCTTTTATTGATCTCTATTCCTCCCTACTTTACCTCCCTCCCTCCTTATTTGCCACCCATCCATACAAAACACGATAACTTGATAATTTCTCTCTTTCTCCTGCAGCAGACACATTTCTCAGGTAATTATTTACTAGCAGCGCAAACATAAGTCCTCATTTAACTCTATTGTGTGTTGAGAGAACCAATACCTCCGAGCTCCCTGGAGAAACACGGGCAAACCGCAATAAAATGCGCCTTTTATGTGACGTTAATGATGACCATGTTGTTGCTGGAGGCCGTAAGGTGATGAATAACGGCTATTACCTTCCTATTTGGTGGATGACGACGACTGTATTAAAAGTCAATCTCACCTTTGAGGTGGTGACTGAATGGTGGACGTGTGCTGAATTGGGGCCACACCATCTGCTGTTTGATGTTATTTTGGTGAGTCTATTGTCAGTTTCAAACAAACAGGAAAACACAGAATTATTTCTGCTGGCTCTGAGCCTGTTGGCTGCAGAGAATCAGAACCAGGAATATAACTTCAATAATTTCAAGGCTGTATAACGGAGGTGACTTTGGTGCAGAGTCATTTTGGCACCTGAAGTAGGAGATGAATACATCAAAGAACATCAAACAAAAAAAAGGAATTTCATAAAGGGTTTAATAAAGACTCTGGAGGTAATTTGAAGACAGAGTTGAAGTTTTGTAAGGCCTTAAGGTCTATTGTGCAGTAGCTCTATAATTTTTACCTTCAAGTCAGCTGAGATCTCATTGCATGGTGGATCCCTGAACTTTATTTTAAATTACAGATCCCTAAATTTACAAAGTCACAAATATGCTAGGCTGTATTACAGGGAAGTTTCTATTAAATGGTGAACAATAAAGCAAGGATTTTGTACATTTAATTAATCGTAAACAGAGTGAAAAAGCCACTGAAACACTATTTAAATCCACCACAAAAATCTCCACTGAAATTTAAACTGCTGTGAAAAAAGGCTGAAATTGAGTTTCACAAATTAGAGAACTTTGGCACAGGAGGTTGTACATCTTTTCTTTCTAGGTTTATGTGATTAAATCTGTATTTCTATATCAGAAAACGTAAAAAGAAAATATTTTTTTCTGTTGCTAGAAGCTCTGTCATATCAGAGGTGGACAACAATGAATGACTGATATCTGATATTTATTTAAAAGGACAACTCATATGACAGCTACACAGAGACACGTAAGGTCCAAAGAAGTGCATTTGGCAGGATCTGGGCAGGAAACAGTTGAATAGGTGAAACCTGACTGGAAAAATAAAATGTTATTGAGCATGTCTGGGCTTGTTGAGGCAGCGTTTCACTAAAAATGTGAAAAACTTTAAGTGAAAAACTTTAAGTGAGATAATAGTTTTAGTAATAGAAATGATCATGCAGATGGAAAAAGCTATGAACCAAAACACATTTTCTGACAGCAAGATCGGACAACGGTGTTCCACGCGTGACTTTCTCTGTATTTCTGTCTGAGATAGAAATACAGCTACTGACTTCACCTCAGAGGTCATTGTAGAAAACATTTCAAAAATAACATTCAGAAACTTGGGTTTCATTGTCACTCACGTCTGCAGTGTCTCACGGAGATAGCAGGCTTCATTTCATTTCATTTTCACACTCCCACACACACACTGAACTTCAAATAGAAGCACTTGTTTTGTTTTTATTGTCTCTATGATACAATCAGAGAACATGTTGCAGGTGCAACGAAAACTTCATCAGAGAAACCTTTAATGAGAAGAAACTAATGCAGTTTTTTTTTTATTCTCGTCTATTAAAACGTACCTCTCAGAATATACACACAAGGCATAATTACTGTCATTCCTGTAACATCTCATCCCAACACACTTGGCAACCACAATACCGACCTTTTGTCTTTTTTTCCTGTATATTACCTCACACAGCAAATGTAAATGTCACCCGGACTGAGATCCGTAAGCCTTCCTTGTCTACAGAGCAGCTCAGTGTCTGATTGCACAGCTAAACCTTTAAGACTGTCAGCACGTCTCTGATGGGATACAACAATATCTTTGTCATCTCAGGCTGCTTAAGGATTCAGAAAATTGGACACTCTCTCTGCACTGCATACTGAAACTCCCACTAAAGAAAGCATGTGGGAATGTATGAGATCCTTGCTCCTACCAGCGAAGATATGCAGTGTAGGAGTTTGATGGGAAAATCTGAGGAGAATCTCAGCTGCCCATACTGTATAATATAACCCACTTTCTAGCTGATGTAGTGGAAATGATGCAGCCACATTTAATAATGATGCATGCAGTCACAGAGCCAAGCTGCAACTTCAGTGATCCTAAAATATTTCCATTGGCTCAAATATTAAATACACAAAATGTAACATGTAAATGTGCTTACATGTTGTTAGGAGATGTATTTTTGAGTGATACAATTAACAGTTGCAGTTTGTGTTCCATTACCAAGGTCCCTCCTCTTCATGGATTTATTCTCAGGTTACTGGGTTTTGAAATTACAATACTGAAAATTGACACAAATTTTGCCTTAGAGTAGAAAGGGAGTCATATTGAAAAGAAGATTAAGATAAATACATTGTGCACAGATAGCCCAGGCTGAACAACAAACCCAGCAGTTGGATGAATTTCTACTCACCTTAACACCTACAGTATGGCAGTATGGCATGTGGGTGGGGCATGTAAAATAAACTCAATAAAAGAATATGTTAAGTTGTTACAGACCATGCTGCTGTATGTGTACTCACTGAGCAGTGACTCGATGACCACTCGGTAGGCGCTGGCGTGTCGATGAGGCTGCCACTGGGTGCACAGACCATTCATCCTCACCTGATATGCACTCAGGTTGGTCACCCCGAGGTACACTGCAGAAGAAAAGAGAGAAATCATTTATTATTTATTTTTCCTTGAAGAGCTATGTTGGTATGTGATAGCATTTACAAATGAAGAACATTATTGTGGAATTCTGCTCTTAAATTCTGCCTTTACTCTGAGCGAACGAATATATGCGTCCAAATGGAAATTTGAAAGATTAATGCTCCACTTCTTGTAGAAAGAATCAAGGGAGCATTTACTTTTTTAGACTGGTATTTTTTTTTTTTTTTTTACCTAATGTAGACCGATCCTCAGCTAAATTTTTAATCTACCTCATAGCATGTTTGATATTCCAAACTTTTTCTTATTCAACCCTCCCTCAAAAACAATCAAAAAACAAAAAAAAGCGAGCCATGGAAGAAACCATGGCTCAAAAATCAAGGTCTGAACTGACCCGTGGATTTAACACCCCTGTAAACAATTAAATAACACTATAAAAAAGCCATTTTAGACATAATTCATTAACAGCTGAAAGGTGCTATGGATATAGTTGTATTCAATGTAAATAACACCATAAAAAGCCAGATCCCACTCACTTTGCCTAAATGCTGATATTATGACTCTGAAACACACACAAAACTACCGTTGAGATGTACAAACAAGCTGTAAACTGCCTTTTCTGAACTCTTTTCTGAACTAAATATATACATTCAAGAGTTGTAAGCAATACTCTCTACACGCTGCTGTAATAATAAAGATGCTCTGAGCTCACATCGGAGAAACCACATAGCGTCCGGTTTCCAGATGACAGATTTAAAAATGTATGGCCAGTGGGCTTTAAGGACACTGGCGTGCCAGTTATTTACAGAAAGAGTAATATAACTTCACTGAGTTTTCTCCAGAAGTGCAGCTTACGCACACATGCACAAACACAAACCCAAACAAACCCACACACACTCTATTTATGCAAATAGTATGTATGCTTTCACCCACTGACTTTAGAAAGCGTCACTTGTTCTGAGTTCAAAGACATTAGCATGCATGTTTCTGTGAGTTGGTAATGGCCTTGTACATCACGGACAAATGCATAATGTATCTCCGCATAATGTTTATGTAAAAATCTCCCCATGTGACTTAGTTAGAAGACACAAAGAGATACAATTTAGTTGGAGAAAATATCATAGTTGTTGTGACTGAATACGCTGTTAATAACAGGACTAGTAACTAGTGGTGCTTGAAGAAAAAAGTCACACAGAAGAAAACTGAGAAACATAATAACATTGATACAATGACCAAACAGGCAGAGAGCAGATTTTTATTTATTACTTTTTCTATTGCTTCGCCTTCAGCCTCAAAGAAGCAATCCACCTTTTGGAAGCTGATTGGCCTCAGATTTCCCTGGTGCTTCACACTCGGCTGCAAACTTCCCCAGTGAGCACAGAAGGTCACAGTCCCAGTTTCCACTGCATGGAACGGCTCGGCTCAACTGCACTTGTTGTTTTTGGTTATCACCTCGGTCATGGTTCCCAGCGAGCTGAGTTGATACCAAGTGGTGCAGTGAACACACTGCAGACCACTGACCACCACAAAGTGCAATCGGTTTTCAGTCATTGGGATGAAAAGCTCTCAAAAGGAAAGGATATCCTCCATCATTCCTGTGTGTTTGTGTCACAACAGCTTCACCTGGCATCGCTACGACTATCAGCTAAGACTCCCGCCTACATTGAGGGGGTACCAGCTGTAGTGAAATGAAATCTAGAAAAGTACCAGGTACCGAAACCGTGTTTTGTTATATATATAATAATATGAGGCCAGTGGGATACCAGGAGGTGATTTTGTGATCTTGTGAGTCTAGCTGCCTCATAAGGTAAGAAGAGGTTAGACGAACCACTATCACCACTTAACCAAATCTAAACCATACAGATGGATGATCAGAAAACCCTCTTAGCTGTCATATGGCATCTATTTAGTTATTTAGCCATGTGGACATCTTAGGATGAGAAATAACTTTAAGGTTTGCTCTCAGCAAATGTGCTCTTTGCGATAAAACTGTACATCATTTAACTAAGTGACAAAGTATTGCAGTAAAGTCTCCTTTCTGTCCTCAACAACTGTGATACTTGTGCTGGTGTGTGACATTGAAGCATCAGTCCACTCATTTCTACTGGTCCATTGGCTTCATTAACATGCTGCTGAGCAATATGACAGACGATCCATTCACCTCCTGGGATCCCACTGGCCTCATATCATTATACTCTCTTTTACAACTCCATCCATCTCTCCATCTTTCTTCTTCCTTTCCCTATCTTCTTCAGGTTTCTTCCCCTTTCTCTCTCTCTTCTTTTTCTCCCCCCACAAACTTGTCCTTCAAATCAACCAAGAAGTGCTTAATTGTCATGCAGGTGAAGGAAACTGTGGCTCAAATGCAAAGTGACGTGCCTGAGATCCATTTAAAGCTACATGTTCGGGCATTCAGCTGACACTTGCATTGAGAGCTCTTACCCAGAGAGAAATGAGAATTGATGATTGGGTGAAGGTTGAGTGTCCTGCTCAAGGACACTTTGAGAGGACACATTGTCGGTTGCTTTGGAGATCAAACCAGAGACCTTTCAGTTTCAAAAAGGGCTATTTCACCAATAGGCCAGCCTGCGGTGAAGTGTTTAATTATCATGCAGAAGAGGGAAATCCAGGCGCCCAATCAAATGATTGTTCTTGAGAAGTAATGATTGATTGAACCGGGCCAGACACTCAAAGAGCCTCGGGAAGTGTCCACATCTCTTGTGAGATAACTTAAATCTATTGCATCTACAGTTCATTCCGGGACTGGGATGTAATTAGGTAAAGCTCCCATTAAAAGTGTCAGATGAATATCAAGATATTGATGTCTGCAAGTGTTTGGCTGATTCTCCGATTAGATTAGAGGCAGTGTTTCCTCTAGGATTTTTTTTAGCAGCGGCGGCAGGCCCGTCCGAACAGGGACATGAAGGGACATTAAATGTGTGTAGTATGTAGGTTCAATAATGTGTTAAAGCAGCTCTCCAACCCAGAGAATGCAATTTGGGGGACTAAAGTTGTAAAAGCTTGACCAGCTTGCCAACGTGCCTCTCATTATTAATATGTCGGACTAATACAGTAAATGTTAATAATTATATTAACTTGCTGAAACTAGTATTGAGGTACTTGCTAACTACCTGGGGACTGGGAAAGGTATAGTTTTTGTTACTTATTACATACACAGGCCAACACCACTGTAGGTTCAAGGATGCTTTGTACCATTTTTTTATTATCATTATGTAGAGTAAGATGGTGAGTTTCTTTTAGAAAGTTATTTGTAGCTCTTACTTAAGAAGTCCTCTTCTTGTTATATTTTTTTATTTAATTTGAACAGCATCTGCCTCACCATGTGTTGTTTGTGACAATATTTTAAGCTCCATGTCAATAAAACACTTTCTTTTTCTTTTTATGTTGCTTTCCTTTCCCTTCACAGGCTGGGTTGTAACATAAATGGGGGCTCGTCCAGGATATCCGAGGTATAAGATTCCAAGATTTGAAGCAGAAGTTATTAAAAGCTTAGAGGTTGGATTGATTTTTGGGGAAAAAATAAGAAAATTGTGTGAAGTCGAGTAAACTGGACGCACAATTGGACTTATCGCTGTTTGATTTGGAGTACATTTTGGCGAATCTCTATCTTGGTCAATTTGACAACACACATAAATCATTAGAATTTCTTCTGCTGAAGGAAAGAGGATGTAAATGTATAGTTTATGGTGATGCATCTTTAGCATCAATGTAAACACAATGCAATCCATACCATCCTCGTGGTAAACCACTGTCCATTCTTAATAGAATAAAGATAGATGATGCAGGATTGCGGCGCTAACAAGGCAGCTGTTTAAAACTCCTCCATCAAAATCTTTTAATCAGTGGTTCTGGTTACATCGAAGGCGGTCACAATAAAATAAAACCATATCCTGTAATTAGCTGGGACTGCTGCTAAGAGCAACAGATGGGTATGAAGAAATTAATGTCTGAAGTGTTTGACTGACTGTTCTAAAAATGTGAAAGAAACTTTTAAATAGATGCAGTTGCATCCAAAAAAATCCGCAGCTGGTACTGTCATAGAGGTCGAGCCAAAAATAATCTTTATAAACAAAAGGCTAAACAAAATCAGCATTCAACAGCTGGGCAACAAAAACAAGAAGAGTTGATGTGATTGTAGGTATGATGACTGATGCTGTTTGCAGTTTATCTAAATGAGTTGGCATATTCAAATAAGTGGTGTAAACAATTTCAAGCATTCAAACAGAGATGTAGTTTTCATGTAAATATAAAAGACTGTGAAACACAAAACAGTCCTTTTGTGTCCAGATTAGAGTTGGTATCTTGCCATATTGAAACCTGCAGTGTGCTGCTTTGAAAGAGGAAAGTCAAATTTATCTTGTGTGTCATCTGAAGGAAAATGTGAAATTAGATTTTTTGCTTTTGTGACGTACAGGCTGAAAATAATTTGAGACACTGTGGATGATTCACTACAACTAAAATAATAATTTGAAAATAACTTTTCCTTTGAAGTTGCATTTATATTCAGCTGAGGGTAAGCACAATTGGGGAGTTAGGACTGAATGCACTTTGTGATAAACAGCACCAGGGAGAAGCTGCAACATTAAATTTAAGCAACAGAGGATGAACTCACAGGTCTTGGCCCTCCCTGAAAGGGCCTCGCTGGATCCAGTGGTGTAGGAGGCGATGACCTTGACACTGTACTCCGTCCCGCTCAGCAGGTTGACGATCAGCATGGTGTTCACATCCTCTCCCACAAACGTCTCCAGGGCTGCTCCAGGGGCTGCAGAGGGGTGGGATAATTGAGGTGACATGTCAAGGAGTGAGTTCAGAGACGATCATTAGCTTCAATTTCAGTGAGTAGGAATGGATAGAAAATAACGTGGTGATGGAAAATGCAAAAGTGACAGACACGAATGACACGTATATGAAAGAATATCCAGGGAAAATGTGTCTGTGGGTTTGTTCTTTTAGTTCCCTTGACTCAAAATCAGTTTTTATGGTTAGATGCCTGAAAAAGGGTGTGCGGTTAAAACAAGCGTAAGAAATGTTTACGTTTTGTTCTACAACATTAAAGACGACGTTGTGAAATCCAATAGGTTATTTTCCATGAAATTTATTTAATAACCTCTGGGGAAAATGAATTTATACTCTCCAGTGGAGTATACAGTAAAGTTCATGGATTAACCTTTTCTGTTTTATAAGTCCATGTGCTTTTATTTAGCACTTTTAGCTACTGCTAATAAGAAAATCCTATATATCATATAGGATATACATTGTTGTGTTTAATAAACACTGTATCCCTTAGATTTGTCTGAGGGGACACAACTAGAGGATAAAATCATCTATATAATTTATGATACAGACAATTTAAATTATTTATATAATTTGAATCTTTGGGCTTTTGGCTTTATTTGACATGAATTTTTAATGTCTTATTATGGTGTAGAATCTGTAATATTTGAAAGCCATCATTAAAAAGTATTTTAATTTGACTGACAAAGTTTGTGTATGTGTATGTAAATTACCAGATACAGGCTGGTACACGACCCTGTAGCCCATGGTGGGTGAAGGCGGAACGTCCCAGGTGATCCTGAAGCGATTGTACCATTCCTCTGACACTCGCAGGTTCTTAGGAGCTGAAAGAGGAACTGTGGAGCAAAGCAGAGAGAGAAAAGACAGATTTAAAGTTTCTATCAAAATATTAAGTTTTAACAGAATTCTTTTTCTGAATGTTGGCAAAATAAAATATGGATCAGTGCATGTTTTCATCTACATTTATGGAAAAACTATTTACTATTTACAGGGAACCTTGTACTGATTTTATCAGTCACAATGGTGATAAAGACATGCATACAAGGGCTTCAATCTGGAATTTTATCAGATTAGGACAAATGAGAGAAAAAAAAGAAATCAAGACAGGAGGTGGGAGGGAGAAGAGATAAAAAAGAAATGAAAGAGCAAAAGAGGAGAACGTTTGACGAAAGCCAATCTTAATGAATTAGATGTGGAGCAAACAATCTTTGTATAACAATACACTAAAATACAACACAGTTATAAGCTAAAACAAATTGAGTAAAACCAAATTCATTAATGAAATACTAATGTAATGTAAGAATGTAATTCTCGGCATGTCAGAAAGATTAAAAAAGTTCTTCATTAAAGGAAACACAGCAGAGAGAGAGAAGGACAGGGAGACACTGGGAGGACAGAAACCAAGCTGGCAAGAGGAAGATAATGAGGAAGAGTCAAAAAAGGATGAAAGTTTGATAACACTTAATAAAATTTCGTCAGCACAGTGAAAAATGTAAGACCATTGGCTGTTACAGAGAGTACAGTTGAATTAATGTGGCAGAAAGATACTAAATCCAGAGGCGTTATCAGTGGCAACTGGGTCAGAACTTTGGAAAACAGAAGTAATGGCAGGATGGTATTAATTTAAACTGCACTTTTTTTTTTGAGGAATATGTGATTGCCAACCCATCTGTGCACTCACATACATGTGTAACATCTCCTCAGTCTATTCTGTCCCTCCTGAACCGTGATGGATTCAAATCCTCTGAAGATTCCTTTGGTTAATGGGAAACGTGAGACTTTTTAAAATGCAAAAAAAAAATCCCCTCGTCATTCTCTCTGTGTTCCATCATTCCTCCCAGAGTATGTACCCTTCTCACCATTTTACAAGCTGAAACCTCCAGATTATGCAGGCTCTTCTGCCTCATTTTCCCTCTTCACCTTCTGCGGTCGTTCACCATTAAAAAGCCAATCATCCTCTCTACGTTCAGCTATACTCCCACCTCTCAGTATCTGCTGCACCCTCGTAGGTTCAAATCCCCACGTTGTTACTGGCCTCTTCTGTTGCAATATCTATCTCCTATGTGCCCCTCACTGGTCCTGAGAAAATTACTATCATCCTGTGAGCTCTTGCTGCCATTCCTCCCACTATGTCTTCACCCTTCAGGCCTACCGGTAATGAGAAACTGGATATTTAATAGCCAGACTACTAATGACAAAAATAACTCTTCCAACAACCCAGGAACATTTTGAAGAACTCCAGTACTAATTCTGCATTTTGAGTCCACAAACCTAGTTACAGTTTTGGTTGGGGTCTGTAGTTCCTGCATCCCCTGTGGTAGGAATTTCAACCACCGTATAGCTTACATTATTCAAATGTTGTATCTATGATTGATGTCTCAAATGAAGCAGTCAACTCCTAATCAGTTATCAGTCTACTTTGCCCAATAGTCACAGATGCTGAGATGCCTAAAATAAAAAAAGCAAAGCACTGGGGATTTCAAACTTTTCAGTGAAAGGGTTATTGATGATGAATATAATTCAACAGCGAAATCATAAAATATGACCATGTGCTATTGCCATAGCATTAACATTTCAAGCATGTCCCAGTTCTAGTGCTGTAACCAGAAAGTACTTGTAATATTACTTCACAATATAATAATGAAGTCTAGATACTGTTATCAAAATCGGCTTGGTTTGCTGCTGTAATTTTCAAAAAATTTATAAATAAAAATACATCCATTTATGACTGAGTATATATATATATATTTATGTTATGTGAAATTGCAAGAAAACAGCGTGTTTGAAATAAATATGCTACTGAAGCATACCTACAGCCCGAAACTCAAGACGAGCTGTTCACGATTCTCCAAATCCTCAAATGTATGTGACTTATGTGCCCAAATTGTTGTCATTTCTCAATCGTATCATCATTTATTGTCACTAAAAAGCTTGTCATCCTTCCCTTTACCTTGTATATCGCCATTCACTGGTCCTCATTTTATAACCCCAGGTTGGGCTAAATTTCCTTTCTTTCACCACTAAAATCCTGTCACTCCACCTGAATTCTTGGCCATATTTTGTCTGTATACCATCTTTTACTACCATTTTCTTCTGCAGTGTTTTCCACCTCAGCCACTATATGGACCGGAAATTAACGTAACCTTATGGGTTCAAGTCCCAAAAGTAGTTTTCACTTTTATGTCTCATTTTATTTTGGTTCAAGGTCTTCATTTCATCCTTAAAATCCCTGTCATTATTCTGTCCTTTCCCTTCTAATGTATATCTCCCTCAGCGATCATAACATCCTTCATAGATTCAAATTCTTACTTGGCTCTTTCCTCATCCCGAATAACAAAACCCTTTCAACATTTGTCTTTAGTCATTTTTTTTCCTCCTCAGGCTGTCACTTAACTTTAACTTTATGGCTCCAATTCCCCAGATGCAACTACACTGCAATCACACTTACTATCTTCACTTCTGGATTCCAGCACAAAACAGAGATAGTTTCAAATCCTCCTCTCCTGTTTCTTCATTTGGTCCAGTGAGAATCTCAAATGCAGTTTAAAAAGCCTTTTCTGTCACATCATCTATGTTTTCTCTTTCTTTCACAACTGAAAACTCATGTGTCATCCTCTCTGTATTCCCCCCACACCTCTCTCAGTGATCGGCCCATCCCTCAGCGGATCAAACCCTCAGATAATTCTGCCTCTTTTGTCACATTATCTGTCTTCGGTTTGAGGCTAAAAACCCAATCATCCTCTCCGCATTCCCTGTCATGCCTCCCTCAGCGTTCACCCCATCCCTCATAGGTTCAAATCCCCAGATTACACTGGCTCCCTTTGTCACATCATCTATCTTCACTCTAAAAAACCCAATCATCCCCTCTCTCTGCATTCCCTGTCGCTCCTCCCTGGGCGATCATCTCATCCCTCACTTACTAACAGGAGCCATTCATCATCACCGGGTGTCGGAGGCCCCATCGTTTAAAACCGGAGAACATCGTTAGTGTCTGCTAATGTGTGTAATGCGCTGCACGGGGAGACATGATGGGAAGGAGTGGAAAGATGAATGACTTGAATTTAGCGTTTCCTCCTCGCTCAAAGTCGAGTGTTTGCTCTGTAATGTACTTGGCAGCAGAGAAAATCATTAGCCTCTGCCGGTGCATTCACAGGAGCGCACAGTCACATTTAACAAAAAGGAAAAGAATGCATCCGACATATTTCTGTCCTCAGCTCCCCAGTAAAGAAAATGGATGTTGAACATCGAGCTACCAAGACAGGTTGCTATCTCTTTTAACTCCTCTGAAATTGACTTGAGTTAATGAGCTGCAGAGAGACACAGGATGGGTTGAGGTAGAAGTGCACCTCTTCACTGAGAATACCTTCACTGAGAGTCTAAATGCGTTTACCAGTTAATGGAGCTGCTGCTTAAATGTATCAAGAAGTTTTAGGGGGCAAGGTCATGGCAATTACAAAGTATTGTTACTATAATCATTAAGAAATATTACATTAGATATTTCAGTCTAGTTATTGCTTTAAACTGAAGGCACAACTCCAATATTATCACCAACCTAATCTATTTTTAATTGCTCAGGATGAATATCATTCACAATACAAATGAATAACTAAAACATTCAGCTTCACTTTTTTTTGGAAAGTATTTAAATGGAGAATTTCTTTAAATAAAGTTAGTAACCAAATAACATTATAATGAGGTCTTAAATTCCCCCACACTGTTTCTTCAGGGATTTATAGTTTCTCATAAAAAATTAATCATTTTCATTTATTTTGGCGGCGACAAGGATAACGCCCTTTCCATCCATCTCTACTCCCCCTCTGGCAAAAGTCGTCCTAAAGAAGATGAATCGCTAACATGTTTCTGTTCCACTTAAACTACAATGTGTGTTGACAGCCACTGTGGGTGGAAATATTTCTTTCATCAAGAGTTCACCTAGAATTTGTCTTTTTCATAGGAGCCTGGCAGAGGTTAGGGTTTCACACACCATACACCACACATACAGCAACATACAACAACGCTGATGTGTGTAGTTGTGCTCCTGCACAAGTAAAGCTGTTTCTCTGGTCACTAAACTTTTTGGAGTCAGGCTTGCCATTCCAACTAGTTTCATCTTTTGAACCAACAACTAACTGACACTTGGGTAAGCAAGTTAAAAACACAACACTGAGATGTGATCACCATTTAAGTTGAGTCACGCTGAACTCGTTAGCCAAGAGTTGCTTATTTGCACATTCAGTAGTTATGGAACAACATTATCATTCATTGCAGTCACGTTTCACTAGAGGTGTGACTCTTCACTGGCCTCACAATCTGAGTGCAATTCAACTGTCGAAGATTCAAATGCACAACAGTTCTCCCATGTATATTAATGCATCTAAATGTATCGTATCAAACATTTTCTTTATTACTGCACATAACTACTTTTACAAGCAGTCAGTTAAATCTGAAGAATGTGCTTTCAAAAATAATGTGCTGTTATTGTTTATACTAGTCCAGGAATTACACATAATGGCTACTTGACTAGCTTTACTCGCTGACTCCATTACCTGTGCTTTGGTTGAGTGCAGGTACCACCGTTTCTGTGAAGTGACTTCATGCGGCACAGATAAATTGACACACCTCTTCAATTCTTGGCAGCTAAAGAGACAGATATTTACCCCAGGAGTTGGTGGAGATAAAAAACTAAAGGCTAAAGCTAAAAGGAGAGTGAATATTCAGAACAAACTCCAATGGGATGAGCATTGTCTGATAGTTTTTTTGTAAAATGTTATCCTATATCATATATATTAAATTATATTGGACTTACATTGATCAGGTGGAGAAAGACACAACTCTAAATGAATAATATTGTTGCTCTGTAACTGCTGCATGTGGAAATAAGCAACAAGTTCACCGTATCATCTCAAAAAGGTGATAATACAATGCTGTGCTCACTGTACCATAACACCTTAAGTGGCCAAAAAGTGGCAGAAAATTAGTTATTTCAGACCTAAATCAGGAGAGACTGAAGAAAATTACCTGAATAAATTAAAAAACAAAACATGAATGACTTACGTGTTCGTCCCATTCGTGACGCTGTCGGCCCGTCTCCATCAGGGTACACAGGAGTGATGGTGATTTTATAGTCCGTATCTGACAGGAGAGGCTGCAGAACCAGACTGCTCTGACCTGTGGGCACCGTCCTCTGTAAGCAGAAAATAATTAAAAGTTTGAAAACTAGTGTCTATAAAAACTGGCAACAAATGTGATGATTTTGAGGAGGTTGTAAAGGCAAACTGAGAAAGAGCGGTGAGTTTAACATGGTCTGTAAAGTCATTATGGGTGTGACTGAGGAGGTAGAGCAGGTCATCCACTAATCACAGGTTTGGTGGTTTGAAAAATTTAAGTTATTTGGCACTGAACCCCAACTTGCTGCCATTTATATATTGAGCCATATATCATTATGAGCAAACTCCAGTCCATCACGTTTATATTTCTAAATATTTCCCAGTCTGGTCTGATTAGTCTCTGTGATGTGTTATTTCACCTCCCAAAGTTCAGCTGCCAATCAAACACGTAGGTGACCATGTGACATTATCTCATGTATATTGTGTTTCTGCAGCTTCAGCTCTCTGATAAGGCGTGCTGGTTGTCATTTAACTACCCAGTCCTTCTTGTTCTTCTTGTTTTGTTTATTAAGAGAATCCCTTTACAGTCTATAGAGTCAGGGACGATCAACAAGCATATTAAGTCATGTTCATTGTTTTTTAGATCACTCCGTTCTTTTTTAAAAATCTGAATGTTTTCTCATTCTTTTTTAATTGGATCTCATTACTTGAATTAATTCTACCCCACACATATAATGTGAGATCAAACACTGTCAGCTGATGTGCTGACAGCGGAGCTGTACCAGCAGGACAGTCTGACTGCTGGGCTCCACGCTCTGCAGGAGAAACAACTCATGCTGATTCCTTTAATAGGGACTTTCTTTGAAAAAACACCTGAAAGAACTCAAAAATAACTTTTTTTCCTTTTCAGAACAAACTTAAACCCAGTTTTTAAGGAAGGTCAGTGAACATGCTATCTTACAATCACAAAAAAAACAACTAAACCCAGCCATGTTCCTGCACCACTGAAAAAGATCTGGAAGAGATTTGATATGGTGGATGTCCTCTTTGTTATCTTTATTATTACACACATAGTACATCCTTTGGGACAGATTCTTGAATGAACTAAAAGCTAGATTTCATAAGTACAAAGCACCAAAAATATATAAAATTGTATTAGCCTTTTAATGGAGGTGAAGCGCAGAGAGTTGCTGCAGTGAGGCTTTGAGGTTAATTGTGTCCAGGTTTCCTCCTCACCTGTCTGTGAACTTGGCCTTTTTGTTAAAACTGATCCCTAAATGACTCATCGCTGTTCTCATACTGGAGAAAAGCTAATCTGCTTCTTTACCCTGCAGGCTTCCTTTCTCTCTTCATCTCTGCTCCCAACTCTTTCTTCTTCTGTCCCTCTGTTGCTTTCTCTACCGTTGTTCCTTACGCCCTGTTTCTCTCTCTACATCTGTTGTTTATGATTTATATTGACTTATTTATGTTACTATTTCTGGTCATGTCTCTCTACAAAATCAGCCTTCTTTCTTTTTTATTGCTGTATGATACAGTTCTATCATATGGAATATAGTTATATGTCATATAGAGATGAAACAATTAGAAGTTTCGTAGGTTAGTTGACTGACAGAACAGCAGCTTTTTAAATAATCAATTAATCTGCAAGTTCCCAATGGATCTGTTGATTTCTCTGGTATATATGAATATAAAACAACCTATATGAAGATATCAGCTTGGTCTCTGGATTTTTTTGTAAGAGTTGATAGAGCTAATCTTTTATTGGTGAAAATGATCAACAGATAAGTAAAGTAATCCTTAATTGCAGCCATAATATCATGAATATTTATATTGTGACAATTTTTCTGAAAAGTCAATTGAAAAGCTGTTGTACTGTTATAAAATAACCAGATTGCAATGTCTGTTTTGGATAATATAGCAAAGCAAATAACTGAAAAATTAAAGATAGATAGACTTTATTAATCCCCGGAGGGAAATTGGGTCGTCATAGCAGCCGGGTACATTAAAATACAATAGAATAAAATACAACAACAGAAAAATTAAAAAAATATAAATAGGTAGGTAAGGTGCAAAGAGTTGCAGTTGTAATAATATGTATATATAATATGATGACTGAACGGATATACATGTCAACATTATATATACATATTATTATTATATTATTATAAATATTATTAATATTATCATTATATACTGTTATTATCATATACTGTTATTAACAATAACACTACCATCATGTCATCAGTACTATTACCACCATCTTGCAACTACAACTCTTTGCACCTTACCTACCTATTTATCTTTTTTTTTTATCTTGTCTATTGTTGTATTTTACTCTATTGTTGTATTTTATTCTATTGTATTTTATTGTATTTTAATGTACCTGGCTGCTATGACGACCCAATTTCCCTCACGGCTCATTGCCCACAAAGGCCTAACCAACTGGAAATATCAAAGGGAGAAATGCTTCAGTAAACGCTAAAGCAACATTTCTCCTGTGAACAAATTGTCTCACAGTATATATTGTGACACTATACTATACTGTAATATCACCCAGCCATAGTTTGTACAGGGATTCATGTATCAATCATAGACATTTTCCCAGTATAGTCTATTTACAGTATAAACCTGGATGTTCAGTGGTCATATGACTGAACACAGAGGTGTTGATAGCTGTTTTTACCTGCAGAGAAACAGTCCTATGGTTGTTTTGTTCTGGGTAGGAGGAATCCTTTAATATGTAATGGTTGAGTTGTGTGTTTGCATGTAGACCATCTCAATCTTTTCATTCCTCTGTTTCTCTCTAACACAGTCTTTGTGTCTGTCTGCCTGTCTATGTTGGTCTGTCTCTTTGTCTGTCAGCCCTGTTTGCATTCTGAGCATGTACAGTCTAGCCTGGCTTCATCCACAAACCCTCTACTTCCCCCAAAAAATACACTCTCACAGACGTGTCAGTCAGACAAACACTGTGGGCCTTGACAAATCAATTTCAGCACAGTCTGATGAAAAAGGCAGCAAGTCTCTAAACTATCACTGAGCCACACAGTTGGAAGAAACCATCTTAAGCTGCACTCCTTTCACTCCACTTTGTAAATGCAAACATGGTTTCATGAAGTATTTATAGGATTCAGAAACCCAATCTAGTTTTGACAGAGGCTCTGTGCAGGCCCAGAATATTAAGTCTGACCCATCTGAGACTTTGCTGGAGCTACACCGCTTCAAGGCAAACTGCACGGGGAACACAGCACACAGGTAAGGGGAGTCAATTTAAGGTGACTTTACTAGCAAGCAATATGGCAAAACATCTGGTAAACTGCACAGAACAGCAGCCCAATGAAAGCAACCCAAAAAGGAAAATCAAACCTTTACCCTTCCAACTAACTGCAACAAATAAAAAACAAAAAAACACACACAGATGAAACAAACTTCATTTAAGACCCTTTTCAACTGCCATTTAAACTATTACAAAGTCCAGGGGGTCCAGGTCCAGGGAGCATTCTAGGACAACCGTTACAAGGACCGGATGATGAGAATCGCAACCCGACTTAAGACCAGAACAGACCACCAGGGGTTTCTCCCAGTGGGACTCCCATAAGTGGCTTGACTTCTAGACAGAGTCATGTCACAAGGAGTCAGCACTTACCATAAACCATTTAACACCACACGACCTTTACTGGTACACCCTAAAGACGGGACCCCTGAGATGAGGAGGGGAGTGGGGTACTGTAGGCTACATCATGAATTCACATGTGCCAGCTGTGGGGAAAATTAGATCAGTGAAATGACAAGCATCCTGACAAGAGCCTGAATTAACACTGGAAAAAGAGCCAAACTGGTCAGAGCAACAGTGATGGGGTCAAAGGTCATCAACCTGGAGTCAGTAGATGGCTGGAGAAAGAACCAGGCAGATGTTCCAATCCAATCAGGAATACCTCCTATAGGAGCACTTGTTATCATGTGATGACTGAAGCTCCACATTTGGGCACCATGACAAACTTAAGCAGGTTTGTTTGGAATAAATAATTAAGCCCAGAGCATTACCAACCGACAGTTACACTTAATCAATGGAAAACTTTTTTATTGATTATGAAAGTAACTTTAAGTTAAGGAGTTCTTTGCCAGAGTTGTACAAATTACAGGAAATCTGTGACAGAAGGAAACCGTGATGCCCAAAACTTTTTAATCCTCCCTTGACTACGTTTGTACCTCCTGGAACAACATTTTGTTGCTGAGCAATAATAGCCCAAACTCTGTTTACACACAGTGGAATTGCACTTGATGCCCAGCAGCTTTGGTTTATTGGACACTGAATGAAGCTGCACAGGGAAATAACGGAGCTTCACAGAGTTCAGTATCACAGCTGTCTGTGGACAGATGGCTGCAGAGTCGAGTCGCCCCACGGCTACAGGGTAGATACTGACATCTGGTAAAGAAGTGACACAGCCATCTGAATCGGCATAACCATTAACTTGTATATTTATAAGCTTGTAGAGGGGTGAGCATTAAGGAATTCTCAGCTCAGCAACAGAGGTTAGTGCAATGAGCAGTGTGCTAAAGCTGCAGTCATCTGACCATTAGGGGGCAGAAGAAGTTAAAAACAAGGTGCCAGACACAGCACTTGTTCTGGATTACATACGCCAAAGGAGTTTGTTCTGAACATTTAGCTCTTTTAGCTCTTGTTTGGTCTCCACCAACTCCTGGGAAAACTATCTAGCTCTTTAGCTGCTAAATGTTCCACTTTATTCACCAGCTGGTGTCTAACTGTGTCTGTCTGCTGTTTGGTGCTGAGCAGGTAGTGTACAGAGGGTTCATCAGAGCTATTGATGAAAACAGCTGCTGCTGGACACACTGAGACTGAAGCAGACAGGAAATGTGCCATAAAAATAAAACTATAAACTAAAGGACACTAAAGAGCAGTATAAAGCTGCTGAGATGGTAATAATTAAGATACCATTTTAACATCACGTTTTCATAAAGATTCTATCAGTCTATACAAACACATCCACAGGCACACATCCACATATAAATACCAGTACAACTATAAAATTACTATTCAGTCAGGTCAATGCTTACATGA